CCTGAAAATCCTTCTTCAAATGTAGTTCATGTTGGTGTCCTGCAGCTGAAATGTGATCATTATATATTTTAAACCAGGTATAGTTCTCCACTGCTGGATTTGCACGGCTGTGGCAGATCAGGGTCTCTGTTGATGGTGTGACAGAAACTGATGTGTTCCTGGGGCCATCTAAAATAAAGTCATTAGTGAAATCATCTTGCATAAATCAGATTCATTATTTTGGTATCTAAATTGTGAGGAAATATTTAATGTGTTGCAGTAAACAACAATGTTTCCATGCTTAACTCTTACATACTGCTCATATGTCTTCAGAGTATTTGAATGCACAAACAGCCACTTGGCATTAGTAAATGAATCATTCATTCTTAATTTAAGTTTTAGAGAGTAAGGACTGTGTATCTGTTAGATTTTGCAACATTTAGTCAATGATTTAAAATGCTTTTAACTACAATTCATGTTTTAACCTTACATTTATAAAGCATTTTATTCTGTAAATTTCAAAGATTTTATCTGCCGCACATCTATGACCCTCTGAATTATCTTATCATGCACATCCTATTTGATCACTCCTATGCTGTTTTGCTATTTCACTGTTTAACGAGTCCATTACAATTCAAAAGCCAGCAGGCACCTGTCTCTGGGAACCTGGGCAAATGTGATGTGAACAGTAACAGTTCTCATAACACTGTCATGGCTGAACTGTAGAAAAACTTTCAACTTTGTAATAGTTTGGGTCATTTTTGCAAAAGTCATCCAATTTCAAGCTGAAAGAATCACATCTCTGGTATTGTTGCTCAGGTCAAATGTCAAAATGGGTCAAATTTGGCCTAAGCAGTATGTAAGGTTTAAAACATCGCTATACAATACTCACATTCAACATCAACATGTCGGACTCCTGAAGTTGTTCCTGTGCCTGTTTTTAGAGAACAAGTGTAGTTTCCAGAGTTTGTGAAGGAAACATTTCTTAATTGCAGCACTCGTCCATCCTGCAGGTATTCTCCATTCCTACACCAGGTGAAGACAGATGAGAAGTTGCCAACATCACATCTGTCTGTGCAAGTAAGATTCACAGAGTCGCCTTCCTGGATTGATTCGTGTCTTTTGAGTTTTGTCATGGAAATGTTAAAATCTATGAGAGAAATGAATAACTTATGTTTCGACCTTGTCAGATTAAACAGCAAAGGGGAGTCGAAATTCTTTAAAAAGAAAACCAAAATTAAATCTTACCAACGATTTTTAGTGTTGACCCACTTTTTCCAGTCCATTGGCCATTTGTGGAGTTGGTTATAAATCTAAAGGCATATTTTCCTTCATCACTGTGCTCCACTTGGTGTATTTGCAGTGAACAGTTATTCCGTTTGTTACCAACATACTGAAATCGCGAAGAGCTATTATTTGAGCCACTGTGATAAATGAACGGACCTGCAAAAATATTTTTGTGTCCCCACATGACTTCCTGTACTATGTGATTGTCAGGATAGGAAAATGAACAAAGAATGACAACAGATGATCCTTTCACTGCACACATATAAGGCTGTTGATAGTTTACCTTCCACTTACTGCAGAGAACACCTGGAACAGAAGCATTAATCTTAATTTTCTATTGCTTAAACATTTCGAAATTCCCTTAAAATAAGAAATAAATGTCGCACTTACCTCCAAAGAACAGTGTTAGTGTCAATTTTAGGGTGATGTGTTCAGTGCACATGTTGGAGCTTTTTTAAGTTACACAAGCATAAAGTTTAGAATCACTTAAAGTTATCACGAACGGACAGAGAAAAAGTGACTTTGTTCTTTATCTTCTTTGTCTGCTATGCGCTACTTTCTACATGGTAGGTGCCATCTGGTCATGCAAACCACAGATGCAGTCAACATCTAAGGTTTAGAAGAGAGCATATGAAACCATGTAGCAGCATCAGAGGCGCTGTGGTATGTTTGTTTTGTTTTCTCTGATCTTCTTTTCTAACCAAATGTTGCTGGAACATAACGATTCATTCTCTTGAATCTCATGCATGTCACCAGACGTTTTACTGCCCACCACTGATTAACAGCTAACACTCATATCACACAACAATGAACAGATTTCACAGCAAATTTATAATATGAACCCCTCTGTGGGAAAAATGGGAAACGACTCACGTGCACAGCCATTACTGCTAGGTTTGATGTTGATGCATGCAATGTGCCATTACAGTGTTTTATTCACATTATCTTATAATGCATGACTTGTAAAGGCAAGCAGTGGCATGGTGCACAGATCTGTGTTTTAAATCCACACTGAGGCTTTTCTGTGTGGAGTTTCTATGTTCTCCCTGTGTCTGTGTGGGTCTTTCTGACTTCCTACCACAATCCATAGGCCACATGGGTCACATTAGGTTCTGACCCTGCCTCCTACCCTGGGTAAGGAGGTCAGTCCACTGATAGATGAACGCACTGACTGATCATGTCCACAGTGACAAACCGATCTGAACTGCAGAGAATTTCTATAATTGATAGCGAGGTGAGTGGCGGAGTTCTTGAAGTTTAAGAACTTCTGAGAATTTGTCACTGTTGTCTCTTTAAGTCGAATCATAGACAAGAACAATTTGTAGTTCTTTTAAAAAAGCATTCACACACTGCTCTTTACTTTTCTTTCCTACTTCATTTGTCTGTTTTCTTTTTCTTTGCATTATACATCACATACTAATGGAATATTGACAGTATAGTACTGCCTCTGATTACTATTATCCACTGGAGTTCATTACAGTAATGTGAAAACACCTCCTTCTTCTTCTTTCTAAATTCCCCCTGTGACCTGCTACCTCAGATCTAAAATTGTGTTGTTTGAGTAATTGAAGACCCAATCGCAGGAGACATAATGTTCAACAGAAAATGAGCTTTAATGGAGGAAATAAATCCAATACAAAATGGTTTAAAAAGGAACTCCAAATAGCAACATCCAAAAGGCACAAAGGAGACTAGAACAGTACAGCGTACCATCAGGAACGTAACTGAACAAGACCGACACAACACAGCAAAGGAATATACATACACACCAAGGGCTGATTAGGGATTACACAACAGGAAATCAGGTGAGGATAGATAGGAAGCAGTAAAACCAGTAAAACAGAAAAGAGAACAAACAAGACAAACACCGAAGTTAATGCTAACACAGGAGAATGCAGAGCATTAACAATAGTGAAAAATGGGGGGAATGCATAAATAAAATACAGTACTCACAACATACTAAAATAATAAATAATATAGAATGACAAAGAATTCAACCTGGAGCTGGAATCAAGCAGAAGATCTCGAACCCCAACATCAAATCTTGGGACATGAATGGGCAGTATGGGAGAGTGGGCAGGTCACTGTTCCTCTCCTCACAAGTTCACCCAGTGTGAAGTCACTAGAACTTTGACCCCTTTAACAAACAGGCTCCCTCTTCAGTATATGGAGGCTGCTTTCTTTTAGGCGAGGCATACATTGGGCCAGCTGCCTCCTGTCGGTTCTGTGGGTGGTTCAAAGCTGCACAAACTGGTCTAAGTAATGATACAGAAATGACAGCATGTAACAGAATGAAGTGTTCATAGCTCCTGACAGATACACAATTTCCCATATTATTATTATTATTACTATCATTATTATTAGTAGTAGTAGTGGTGTACTGTCTGAGTCTTACCTGCACACTGTGCTGTAAATGACATCTTCACTTTGGGTGTTCTTCTGCTGCTCCCTGCACGTAATACATTCTATCAGCATGTTCCTCCAGTACAATAAATAATATGTTTTTATCTTATATTGTTGAAATATCTCACGTGTTTGGCTTTCTTTTGTTGTGGAAGTAAACAGCCGCGTAGACGATTTCAGTGGTTTCTCCTTCACTCTGATCCTGATGTTGTGGTTGGTTATCATCACACATTGAGAGCCTGCTGACACGACCTGTGTTCTAGATAAAGTCACAAAGAAGCAACGCACAATTAACAACAATCTTCATTTTTTTCTACTGAACTCTAAATTTGAACTTCTGTTATTAATTAATGATTGTCCAGCAGTAAGAGTAGCACCTGCGATTCTTTCTCACCACTTTCCACCGGTGACCTCATTTGCTTTTTGTTAAGTCTGAAAGATAAACAGAATTTAGGCGATGTGTTACAAAATTAGTGACATTTCAAAATTAGGTAACACTCACCTTCTAACAGCAATAAAAGTGGTCACAATCAGAACTACAGCAACTGTTACAATGACAAGTATGTATCCCCAAAACATTGGCCAGTTTTCTGTAAAACAAATTCATTGTTTTAATTCAGTAATGCCAGAGCCAAGAAAACTTTTAATGGTTATTGATGCGAGTCAGAAAGCATCCAATAGCACCAGCCACTCAAACCTACTTACTTTTAATGTTTAAAGTGACAACAGAAGAGTTTTGACTTCCGTGTTTGTTGGTGACACTGCATAAATACTGGTCACTGTCCCTAGGGTGGAACACTGGCTGATGTCCAACATTTACAGAATCACCTGCAGCTATTCTGAACCACGTATAATTCTCCACGGGGGGGGGTTTGCATGACTGCTGCAAATCAGGGTAAAGTCGCTGCCAGGGTCTGCCCCCAAAGGTGGTTGGACAAGCACTGTGGTGTTCCTAGGGCCATCTGAAAATTAATTTTATTATTTGTGCGTTATCGTTGTCAGTTATCAGTGTGAAAATTTAGAAATATGCAAAGGACCGCATAAGAAGCAACCTTCCCAATTATCCAAGCACTAGGAGTACACTAAGCTCCAGATCCTTAATTTAAAGCTGAATATCTGGACTGTGATCACATCTTGCCTGTTTAATTTAAAACCCACTGTGCTGGTGTGCAGTGACAAAGTCACAAAAACTGTGTAATTATCCAGAAATTATCCTTGGACGTAATTGCACATTACTCAACTCCCTATGAGTCAGCGGTAGGTGACTAGAACTGATGGCAGCATATAAAGCTCGCGGCTCTCACGCTAGAGACCGGGGTTCACATCCAGCTTAGATCTGTTATGTGTAGGTAACAATAGCAGTTTAGCTTATAATAAGAAAAGACTGAAGTTTTAATTAAGACTAAATAAATATTGCATGAGAATATTTGCATCAGAATTAATGTATTTTAGTGTGCACATTAAAGCTAGTTTGCGTATGTGTTATTCTTAAAATAAGTCCCAGAAGCTTGAGCAGAAATATCATGCCAATTAGACAGTCATTAAAAGCCCCCGTGCATTTCTGTGACGTAATAGCTCAATGAGTATATAACAGTATAAATAGTGTAATTCACTGATCTACTTCTCACTAATAATTCTTAGACATTTCCCATTATCAGGTTACTCAATGCTATAAACAGTTCAGAGATTTAAGATGCTAAAAGGCAGAATGTAGGAGATCATTACTCATTACTATTTCAGCATCATTAATTATTCCTTTTTACCTTAAAGTACTGATCTTGTGTCTTGTACTCACATTCAACATCTATACCCAGGACTCTTGAAGTTGATCCTAAGTGTGTTTTTAGAGAACAAGTGTAGTTTCCAGAGGTTGTGGGGGACACGTTTCTTAAATAAAGAGCTGCTCCTTCGTGTAATGGCTCTCCATTCTTAAACCAGGTGTACGCAGATGAAATCTTACCACCATCACAACTGTTCATGCAGGTGAGATTTACAGAGTCGCCTTCCCTTATTGCTTCCTTTACAGAAGGTTTTGACATAAAAATAGTCAAATCTGAAAAAGCAAAGCGACACTTTAATCTTAACTGTTAAAAGCTTTTTATTTATTTAAAGAACAACAACAGCAGCAACAAAAACTTACCAACAACCTTCAGTACTGGGGCATTTTCTTCATGAGGTCTATTAGACATGGTGTTAAATCTGACAAAGTATCTCCCTACATCACTACACTCCACCTGGTGTATTTTCAAAGAGCAATTGTGATATGTGTTTCCGATGTACTGGAATCTTGTGAAAAGAGTTCGTAAACTGCTAGAAATTAAGCGAGCCTTTAAAGTCGCAGGCTGTAGGTGACCCCACAGGACCCTCCTCACTGTTTGGTTGTCAGGATTTTGAAATGAACAAAGAAAAATGACTGAGGAGCCTTTGACTGCACAAATAAGACGCTGCTGATGCTTCACTTTCCACATATTGCAGAGAACACCTAAAAGAGACAGATTCACTCGATAGCTGTAATCGTTTAGCATTCTTGTAAAACATTAAAGAAGATACAAGTGCTGCATTTACCTGTCAGAAACAGCAACATTAACATCCATGTCAGGTGTCTGTGTTCTTCATACATACTTGAAACTCCTTCCTGATGTTAAAATGCTCACAAGAAGAGACATTTGCAAGTTTGCATTTGATGTTTTGTTCTCAAAATGAACATCTCCTCTTTTTTTTCTTCTTTACTGATTTTGTACTCTAGATACTGTACACACTGCTTCCTGTAAAGAAAAAAAAAAGAGACTTAAAATCAGGTCATCTAAGCCGCAGTTTCAAGAAACACGTTATCTCTTGCCGTTTAACTGAGAGCAGTACCGAGAAACCCCATCCCCTGTGCATGTGCGTGACAGTCTGATGCTGCTTTGTTGTGGTGAAAGCAGAGTTAGAGCAGAGGTAGCAATCGGGAGCTGCGTTTTTTTAATCATTTTTTGTTTAACAATGTGCACATTGTGTCGTTGTCCATAAGACACTGTTTTGGTTTATGTTTCATTTATTTGCCTTTTTGGATTGAGTGATTATGAAAAATAAAGCGTGGAGGTGAAGGGGTGGTGTAAGACTAAAATCTTACAGTTGCATTAGCTGTGAACTGAGAGGCTGACATGATTAGATAACCAGCTTTTTCTGCATTTCAGGATCATAGGAACTTCATAAGAGCTTTACTAGAATTACTCAGGCTGTCTACTGTGTTTCCTCTCTTCAGATGCTCTGCCAGGCCTTTGCTGCAGTTGCATTCACTTGTTGCTCCTTTGTGAGTCTTTCTGCCTTCTGTTCTGTCTTCAGTAAATGAATAACATGCTTGTGATCAGGTTATTGACTCAGCCACTTAAGAGCAATCTATTTGTCTTCAGATATTTTTGGGTTGTTTTGCAGCTGCGTTGTGGATCTTTACCATCTGTAGCCTAGCATAAAGCCACTTTTGCATTTATCTTCTTTCAAATGATCATTATACACATTTTTAATGTTTTATCTTTAATATTGCAGTAATAAAAACACGTTGTTTCAGACATTAGCACAGGGGGATAATGGGGAAGGTGAGTATATGTAACACATAACGCTTGACAAGAACTAATACGTATGTCACTTTTGTTAGTAACCAGCTTGAGAAAAACAGAGAGAAAATGGAATGAAAAATATGTTCAAATGATTTATTAACAACAATAATAACCATTATTTAATCATTATCCATCCATCTATTCTCTTCTTATCCAGTTCAGGGTCACGGGGGAACTGGCGCCTATCCCAGCTACTATAAGGCAAGAGGCAGGGAACACCCTGTATATGTTATAATTGGCATCCTATTCTCATGGTAAATGGTAAATGGCCTGTATTTGTATAGCACTTTTCTAGTCCCTAAGGACTTTACACAACCAGTCATCCACCCATTCACACACACATTCACACACTGGTGATGGCAAGCTACATTGTAGCCACAGCCGGATACTGGCGCCACCGGGCCCTCTGACCACCACCAGTAGGCAACGGGTGAAGTGTCTTGCCCAAGGACACAACGACCGAGACTGTCCAAGCCGGGGCTCGAACCGGCAATCTTCCGATTACAACGCACAGCTCTTGAGCCACATCCCCCTATCATTCTCATGATAATAATCTTCCTTATTGTCAAATACATGGATAGTTATATATTTTAAGGTCATATAAAGTATATAAATTCTACCCACATAATGCACAGCTTATATAATATATATATATATATATAATATATATATATATATATATAAATATATATATACTAATATATATTATATATATATATATATAATAATATAAATATATATATATATATATATATATATATATATATATATATATATATAATAAATATATAATTTTATATATATATATAAATTGTAATGATAATTAGCAGAATACTGATCGATCAGTTCAAACTGTGTCATCAAGTCACATCCACCATGTTTAACAGATGATGTGATATGTTTTGAATGATAAGCCCGTCCTTTCCTTAAGATGATCTTGGTTTCATCCACTCAAAGAATGATGTTTCAAACCTGAGCAGACTTTTCTTTTTCTAGATGTTTTCCAGAAAAGACTGATTTGTCACCTGTTGTTCACTGTAGGTGAATCATCTGTATTTACATTTCAGCAGGCCTGTCTTGAGTGGAGATTTTAGGCATTCCTCATGTCTAAGAAAATCCAAATTGATCATCTTTCTTTTTATCTGATGTCTTTTTAATAAGTCTGTTGTTTATTTTGAGTTTCTACGATGACATATAATTCAGCTTCAGCCTTTATCATAGGTGAGTTGTTACACAGGGGCTTCAGTTAAGAAACAACAGTAGTCAGTCTGGATCTGGTATAACGATTAAATATTTGCAAAAACTGAAATGTGACCATTTGAGAAAATGCAACCAAAGGTCTTTAAGATCACACTAGCCATGATGAGTTGGTGAGGAGTTCTCAGACTGGCCCCATGAATTGTTTATACGCAAAGATACACAACAGGCAGCACATTTAACTCTGTATTTATAACAGACCAAAGGCTTTGTATTTTGTTCTGCACAGCAGCAGTTTCTATCACTACTTTCCATCGCAATAACACAATGAGAGGGATTTCCATACTGACATATAAACACCTACGGAATTAACTAATGTTGAAATAAAAGGCCATACATTTGGACATTAACATGGTCAACTGCCCAGTTATTTTGCAGCCTGTGTAAGTGGAGGGACAATGTTTTTAAAAATTCCTGTAATTTACCATATTTTGTTAAATCCCTTTGATTAAAACCTACAGAAATAAACCGAGAATTTGCGTCACCCTGGAAATACACGCATCAAACACACCCCATCTAAAAGCGCAATCTAGCCTATAGTATATCAATGATCGCGCAGCTTTCCGTGACGAAAACTAGCTGCATAATCACGGGTCGCTATAAGTAGACTCGGAAAACGAGGATACGAGCAGTGAGCGGTCACTTCCAATAGGACTTGTTGCTCTAGAGTAGAGGTGCGAACATTCAAGCGTCAGTGCTCGTCATGAAGAGGTCTCCTAAACTCGCGCTCCCCATTGTAGTCATCTCAGTGCTGGTCGCTTGCAGTCCAACGGAGGCATGGTACAAGCAGGTGGCCGGCCCAACCTACTACTCCGTAGGCAGGGCGTCCGGTTTGCTGTCCGGTATTCGGAGATCAGCTTACGTGAGGAGAGAGGAGCCGCACCATGCAGACACTGACGAGTCCGCAACAAACAACGTGTTCTCTGAGATCCCGGCGTCCAGTTCCTTCTTGAAGACGATGGTGAGTGGTCGCTTTTTAAAAAGAATTTTAAAAATCTAATTTTCTTTTCGACTAAGGATAGCACGCTTACAGACAAACATAAATAAAATCTAGTGGAAAAAAAATGAAAAGTATTGTTTTTATGATAATCTGTCACTTCAGTAAGGAAGGAGCTGTCCATTCAGCACCGTTAGACTCTTATTTGTACATTTTTTTAAGCACAAATAATAAAGTTAATAGTTTAAAAAAAATCTCATTTTATAGCAAAATATAAAAATTTAAAGCTTAACTGTGCTAGTCTGTAATCTACAATTTTCCAAATGTTTATTTTTAGAGCAACAACTTTTAAGCACTTTTTTCCACTTTAAATTTTGTGTAAATGTTACGTGCAAAATACCTCAATGGTACTTCCTTAAAAATAAAAAATAAAAATCTTATGTCAACTTACTCAGGTTTCCACAATATATAAGGATATTGATTTCGGATGCGCTCTCATGCAGTACCATTTGTCTTTTTCCTCTCTCCAAACAGCCTGTTTGTATAAAAGACATTACACCAAACCTGCAGAGCTGTGAACGCATCCAGGACATCAAGGCTTCATTTCGGTGCAAAGCCGATGTCTTCCTCTCTCTGGACTCGTCAGATTGTGAAGCAGACTAAGCAGCAAAGCCAACAGCTGGGATAGATGACCAAGCATACTTCTTGCAGGACTGACATTTTAAAACTGGACATTTTAATAGGTGTTGCACTAGAGACGCTACTCTTATGAACCATTTGACCAGAATAAACCTGCTCTTAATTTTTAAGCTTGAAAAGAAATGTATTAATGTTTATGAGTTTTCTTGAATAAAGTATTTCATCCTTGTTCAGTCTGCTGAGGTATTACAGTGTGATTTTTTGCTTGCACCCAAAATTGCAAGCTGAAATGCCTTAGCTCAAGCACTGCAATGACAAGTTAGTGGTACTAAATGTCAACATTTAAAATGAAACATTTCCAAAGTTGCAGTTAACCTTCTGTTGTCAACGAAATGTTGCTGCATGTATATTTTTGGGTTTTTAACAGTAAAAGACAGGGTAAGAAGAAAAGAGCCAAATTATAAAATGATCAGACATGCTTAAAAAGCATATGTTTATTTAAAATGTTATAAAAAGAACAATTAAATAGTATTACTTCATCAGATTTTGAAGTTCTAAAAGACAAAAGCACACATGAGAATTTACAGAGAAATTACAGCAATGAATGACTTAAAACAATTTAAAGAGTCTCAGAAGACTTAAACAAGCTGAACAGCTTCTAGGTTCCCCCTCATAATCTGATCAACGACCACATGAAATGCCACCCGTACGCTTGTGGCGTCTATGGCAGTGGTGAAGTGGTGGTACACAGGCCTGTCAGGGTTGCTGTTACATGCTGAGAACATTGCAGTGATATGGTGGGCTGCAGCATCCACATCACCATCAGCACCTATGATAGCAGGAGAAAAAGAATTAACTGCGCAAAGGTTAATCAGTACATTTCAAACCAGGCATTTTTTTGTTTTTCTTGATAATCCCCAAACAGACTAAGAGCTTCCTTTAAATGACCTGAAATGTAGCCAAGACAGCATCACATAGTTGCTGCAAATTTGTCAGCTACACATCCAGGATGTTAGTCTCCTGTTCCACCCCATCCCAAAGGTGTTCTATTGATTGAGACCTGGTCTTTTGAATACAGTAAACTCAGTGTAATGTTCAAGAAACCAGTTTGACACATTATCCTACTGGAAGCAGCCATCAGAGGATTGATACACCGTGGACATTTAGTGACAATACCCAGGTAGGCTGTTGCACTTAAACAGTACATAATTATTACCAAGGGGCCAAAGTGTGCCAAGAAAATATTCCCCACACCATTATACCAGCCTGAACATTAAAAGGCTTTCATGTTTTTTAATGCCAAATGCTGACCCTACCATCTCAATTTTGCAGCAGAAATCGAGACGCAGATCAGGCATCGTTTCCAACCTTCAATTGTCCAATTTTGATGACCCCATGTGCAAGCATGTTGTGCATTCAGAGATGCTAATCGGCACGTCATTGCTAAATAACAGTTATTTGAAGTTCTTTTCCTTCCTAGCAGTTTGAAGCAGTTTGCTCATTCTCCTCTGACATTACCCAGAGAACCGATGCTTACTGGATAATTTGTCTTTTCAGACCATTTTGTGTGAAGCTTAAAAATTGTGTGTGAAAATCTCAGAAGATCAGCAGTTTCTGAAATACTCTGTCACTTCAAATCAACTTTCTTCTTGATTCTGATGCTCAATTTGAACTTCAGCATGAAGTCTTAACCATGTACACATACTAAATGCAATAAAATGCTATCGTGTGATTGGATGGTTAGATATTGGCATTAGCAAGCAGCTGAATATTAGCGGTTGAGAGTGTGGGTGTGTTGTGTTGCAAATTAATTCTCTTGGAATTGCAGTTCACAAAAAAAAAAATCTCATAAAAGGTTTAATTCCTTCATATGTCTTCAAAAGACATTTAGAAAAGAAAAGTGGGTGGAGGGTTTCTATAATGTACCTTTATAGCTAGAATGGTAAAGTCTCAAGTGTCTTCCAGATTTTAGGATCTTTTCCCGGAAAAGGTCCGTTTTGTTCATGAACAGAATCTGTAGGAGAGAAATAAGGAGTGTTAATAATACAATTATTCCTGCTGAAACCTCTTCACTGGGATTTTCAACAACATGACTCTCAGTCTCAAATATCTACAAAAGCAACTGTTCGTACACTCGAGGTCCATTTTAAAGAAAGAAAAATATCTGAACATTCAGCAGCATTAAAATCACTGGTATGCAAAAACCGGTATGCCAAGACATGCAAGTTCAGATCCATCCAAATCAGCTACAGTCAGTATGAAGTCATAATTCTAACCATCTAAATAGATTTTCTTCACATTTCTCGTGTAACACTATAATTGGTTGTTCAGTTTTAACACACAATCATGCAGAAATTATTCAAATTGAAAGAAAATTAAATCCTTCAATTGTATTAAGTTCAGGTGCTGATGGCTGATTTTTGCTCATAAAAACAATTTGAAATTCTCAGTATGAAAGAAAACTAAACACAGCGTCTCTCAAACAGTCCTCGCAGCTTCTTTAACTAAATGAAATATCCTGCATCTCAGACTTTGTATGCCTAATATGTATACTAGAAATGAACAAAACAGTCCTTCAGTCATTCGCACAAAGTTTAAAACACGACACAACTCTAATATCCAACTTTCAAATATAACATTTGAACCCTTTAATCAATTAATGGTAGGAAGAACATGATCCAATAAAGGGTTAAAGAAACTCAAACTGCAAAAACTTACCATGGTGGTTTGCTGGAAAACCGTGTGGATGCAGATTGATGAAAAAAGTTCAAGACTTTCTTGCAGCCGATTCTAATCAGGAAAGCGGCAATTTTAACTCCAACTGAGCAAAAACCACTGGCTGTAGAGATTTCTAATCACAGTTTGTGACAACATACCACAGAAGGATCCTCCAGTAGTGTCATATCATAGCTGTTGAGGGCCACAACAAACACCACAGCTTGAATACCTTCAAAGCAGCTTAGCCACTTCCTCCTCGCACTTTGCTGGCCTCTGACATCATACAGCCTGTCAACAAGAAAAAACTTTAAGCTTTATTTAGAAAAAAAAAAAAAACAAGTTGGGAAATAGAGTAATCACTACCTTTTACATATTTTATAGCTCAAAATTAAATTGCTAAGGCCTTGGTGCTCTGAAATAAAGTCGCCTGAGAACATTTCATATTTAGAAATGATACAATTTATTTAGAAGGAATGCCATTATGCAAATAAGTTAATTAGGAGAAGCAGAGGCAACAATCTGTATAAGTAGTTTTACTTCATTTTTTTAGGTTAGGAAGTGTCTCACTACAAATCAAACCAGCAGCTGACTTGCCTCATTGTGCAGCTCTGGATAAGCACCCAATTCATACGGCAGCGTGCTCGACACTCAGAAATAACATTTCACCCGTTTAAATTATTGGAGCAATTTATCTCAACAAGACTCTGCACCAAGTGAAGTGAAGGGTCTTGGTGACACAGGTAATGAGTTCCCATTTTGGGGTGCTATGATTGCCGTCTTCATGTCAGAGACAATGAAGCATTTACCCCATTGGTCAAGAGTAAGCGTTAACAAGCTGGGTGACAATAAGTTTTAACAGTGGCATTTGACAGCAGTATTTATGTAGTGAGGACAGAAAAGCCATCATTTATAATGGAAAGAGGGCTCTTTATGGCTTTTCCCCATCAAGTACAAGAACAGGATCAGAACTAGATATAGACAACTTAAACACCGAGTTCAGCAAAAGAGATGGGACTGACTCAGTCTGCTTTAGTCATATTTGCAGGGCAACAAAATATTCATTATAAAACAAAAAAAGCATTTAAGATCAATTTAAAGACAGAACACAAGACAAGAAAACTTAAATGAATTTAATGAAATAAATTTAAATGAAACCACTGAACAACAGTGATATCATATCACCTGCTACAAAAAGCAATATCCTTCCTTAATTTGGTGAGATTTTCTCCTGCGTCCATTGCAACTGCATTTTGAGTAAAAAGCTAGAAGCAGCTAGTAGAACCAATGTCACCTCGTAGACTGGTTGAAAACACAAAAGCACTGTGCGATAAACAAGTTCAGAGAATTGAATCTAAACAATATTTCAGTTTTCATTGTGTGCATTCAGAAAGTTTACAAACTATAATTTAGTAACGTCATATTATTCATATTTTATCAAGAAAAACAGGAAAAAATCTGAAGGGTGACACTGCGGTCCTCGAAGCAGCTACAGTATATAAAATATTCATATTCAAGTCTTGGTATGATTCTGTTTGTGACCCACAGACCGAATAGAATCACAGTGAAGGGAAAGTAGGCAGGAGGCATCATGAATGCCTGGGTATTCTGAAAAACAAGAGTTATGGGAAAGAAAGTTGGGATTTCAATGAGTCATAGCTAACTTTCTCTATATTTCTGCTAATACTTTTGGAATATTGAGTGGAATATAGAGTAAAGTCCTCCATATTTCAAGACTGATTCATTGCCAGGAAGCCACCTGCCTTCACTCAAAATTGCTCATGAGGTTGGACAGAGTGCATCTCGATAACCTCAAACTGATATGCAGGAAATATTGATTCATTTCTTAACTTTTCAACAAATAACTTGAGAAACAGTCACAAGTAGATAATCTATCACTATTTAGCACAGTGTGCTAAAGTTACATTGGTTTTATGTTAAAAATCTCTGAAACTATCAGCCTTCAGGCAGTTTCATAAAAACTATGACCCAGTAATTTCCACCACTTTAATTCTGGATGCCTTTGTTGCAGTTTATGGCGCTCTCGATGCCCATTTCCTTGACTCAGTCATTACTCGGCTGTCCAATAATGCATTTGTGCACAAGCGCACAATCTACAACAACAAATCACAGCTTTCTTTAAAGCACCACTGGTATATTCTATTCCTTTTTATTTGCAACTACAACATTCCTGACATAAGTCATCAGATTGGTCTTTAGTGGTTATGCATCAATATCTAGAGTCCTTTTGTAACTACATAAAATGTTATCTTCTAACACGGGCTGCTATTTAAATAACAGCCCGTGTTATTTAAATAGTCCATGAGTGTTGTTTCAGCTGCATGTGCGGTTTTGGTCTATATTTGTACACAGCAGCATATTGCAGTGTGTGAGAGCAGGGATTTGATTCATCAGGCTTAAGTTTAATGGCCGATTTTTAATCCAGATTTCCTAATTTTGTTTGTGTTGGAAGAGTGTTAAGGGAATAAAAGAGTTCATTCAGTGATAACAAAGGTTTATGCAAACATGCAAAGAGTTCAACCGTCTCTTGAAAGTATAGTGAGGTAAAATAGTTTTAATATTCACTGAGCACAGGGGAGATTGAGTGGCAAACAGTAAATCTTAAATGTGATTCAGATTTTTTTCTCATATTTTTTCAGGCAATCAGTGGTCCACTCTAAAGCACTGTTTCAAAAAATAAAATATTAAATAAAATAAAAATAGGAAAAGTATTACAGGTACAGTTATTTAATCTTTGCACTGTCGTATTTGGACTTTGTGTCTTACCGAAACACAGTTTTATCAACTTGAAACTGTGTCTCAATGATTCCACAGGTCCTCACTCTGACTCTCAGAACATCTGCATCTGTGGGAACGTAGTTTGGTGCGATGATTCGACTCATGTTCTCAAAGAAACTGGAGGAAGGGAAAAGAACAAAGGAGAAGGAACATGACTTCAGACTACAAGTCACTGTTTTTTGCCAAAATTTAGTTTGTATGAGATCACACCTACATTGTACATGTAGGTGTGACTGGACATGATACAACCACCAATTGCAGGTGAAAAATGCATATTCCCCAACTGCTTTGGCAATGGTTCTAGAGGCTGCTTGCTATCACTGGGTAAAACTGGTTGCAAAAAAGCCGCTGCACCAAAATCTTAGACTGACACAGCTGTCTATAGTTTTTCATTTTTGTCTGTAGACACTTAGCAACTACTTGCCAAGTGGTAGTAAAGGTGCAGCTTTTATTTTGAAGGCAAACCGTTTCCATTTCCTGTTTGTGTTGTACTACAGCTCAGAGTAGCTGGACAGTGTTTCTAGACCAGTCCATTACCTCCATTTAAAGTACAACAAAGTGTTAGCAACAAAAGCAATGACAAAAATATTTTCTCCAATCAGCTGGGGAATATAGTTTGTTTTTCCCAGCAACAGGTGGCTGCTGGTGGGTGGGCGGATATGCGATCAAGCTTTAGCAATCATTTTCCTAGTGACTGCTATAAAGTCTCCAGCAATCACTCACAGCTAATGGGAGTCATGCCTCATTTTTCATTTCCCCATGACCCATGGTTGCCAGATGGTCGTGGACCACTATATCTTGTGTAACTGGGCCCTTCTTCACTTCTTCAGCTTGTCATGTGACCAAAATGGGGGAAACTTAACGTCATGTGGTTAGTAGTCACATGTCAGTAAAACATCAATAGAAACTTCCCACTGTACAGCCAGTTTAAGGAATTGGCAGCTAGTGTTTTTAGCCTTTTAAAATGCTGCTTTGTGTTTCTAAACAGGCCATGTTATTATGGCATATGGTAACTTGTTTTTTTATCATTAATTATAGGTACAAACAATTTACTGTTCCATTTAAATTATTATTCCAACACAGCAACTATATTCCGCTGTCAAGTATTTACCAAACTAAACCATACCACATACCTGTAACATATTTGTTCAAACTGATTTAGACAAGTGAAGAAAAGTCAGTTCATGATTATTTTAAATTTCATGCTGAGATACTCGCATATCCAAAGTCAGCATAAGTAACAAAAAGAAAACTTTGGAGCACAGATGAAGTTTGAGAACAAGCCCAACTAGAATGCAGATGGAGGCGAGTCTCTGTAAACCAGGCATGGATATTTATGGCTGCAGCTCTCTCACATGCGTCATACTGTAGAAGCGCACACCGCTCCCCAGCAGTTATTTTTTGGGGTCAACATATGTTAAAGTAAAAGTGTTCACAAAGTCATCTTCCAAAGTAAGACACCCTAGGAACTAACAGAAAAACATCAGGAATTCTGAAGACTCTACTTTCTGCACTTTGAAGCTTCTGACACACAAACAAAATAAACATGCCAACACTTATATACACAAGGAGCTAAAAATAAGGGTTTTAGACATCTTGATTTTAATTCATGCATGTTCCTAAAGGTCCTGCTCTAACAGTTTGAAGCTCTTCTGGAAAGCTTGTGAAAGTCTATCACAATAGTCCAATCCAACATTTCCGGAGGGAGAAATCAATGCAGGGTCCAGCAGTGTGAAAACATAGACAAAGAGGCAGTCGGGTTTCACGTTATCCTCCAGCTCTCAAGTCCGAGTTCTGATAATGAAGCCGTCACAAATCTCTGAGACTGGCCACATGAAAGAAACTTTATCTCGACAGATCTACTTGCCTTTCCCTTTGAGATAACAGCTTCTATTCAGACCATTTTTTCTACATTCAAAGATAAAAATTACTGAAGAAATTTCCATTTAAAAGACCATGCAACCAACACTGACCACAGTACACAGTCTTATGGTCTTTAAATAAGAGTAACCTGCAATTTAAGCCAATAAGTCACAAAATTCAAGAGACATCCTAATGAATGACCAACTTACACTCCACTATTAATTCAGGCTGAAGGAGAGGTCATTAAAGGCATCTTGATCTATGCTCAACTATCCAGGTAAGGAAATCCCAGAAAGTTAAATCAATTTATCTGAACGTAGCGTTTTTTGTAAGAGAAATAAACGAACTGAAGTAGTCACAGTACATGTCTAGATTAACTTTGAGCCATAATTGAAAGAGACATGTTTTAATACTAGTAGTCAATAATAATGCAAAAACGTATGTCATGAACCTTCAAATCAAACATGAATTACAATTTGATTTGTTTATTGGGTCACAGTGATGCATTAAGAACGATTTCAACAATGACTGCAAAACAAACTGCCTTTACATAATAATCAGAATTTAGCAAGCTGCCCGGGGAATATCAGATATTTACTAAATAAAATATCACACATGTGAGAGGGGGTCTCATAACTGCACTTACAGGGAAAAACAATAAGGCCATTTATTAAAACATATTCCACACTCACATTAACAATTCCCACTTCACCTGATGACACAACACACAAATCATCTATGCTGAGTAGTCATGTAGGATTCATGACATTTTACAGGCTGCAGTGTAGCTGCCACAGCTCGCTTTTTGTTTTTAACTGAGCATCTACATTTGCACAACCTGAGGACAACAATAGGGAAAAGACACGCTCTGACCACTTCAATAATAATAATAATAATAATAATAATATAAATAAATAAATAAATTGTTTTGAAAACATACTAGCTGTAATCTAATATCTAAAAAAAAACACACAGTTTATCAAATCCAGAAAAGTTATGTCACCACTGAATCATACTCCAAGATAGTGAAACTGCAACTTCATACACATCTTTGGATTCTCAAACAAGAAAACTCAGACATTAATTGTGTTTGTTTTATCTGCGCCACTCTAATTTTCATCTCCCTGGATCTCTGCAAACAGTTTTTTAAATGTGGTCCAATTAAGCCTATTACACAAATGTCACAGAAATCATTTCCTGAGCACAAGTTATTCTCAGCGCTCTCTTTACCGTAGCTCTGTATTGGCAAGATGTGACGCTATGCTTCTTACTGGGCAATTTCCCATGACATTTGCAACCATCAATCATAATTGGTCATGTTGTGCAACATAAAGTCACTTAATGTCAATCTACTTACTAGAGAGCAGAGTCGTTCAGCTCAAACTCGTATCCTCGGGCTGCAGCTGCTCGGACTCCTTGGTCGGACCAAAGTGCACAGAAAGCATGAGCCATAAAAGGAAGGAGCTCCTGATCGTCCCCCAAACACTGGCTGCAGGACAGGATGGAGCGAGCATGATCCTGATAGGGACAATATTGTTAAAAGGAAAAAAAGAAAGAAAAAAAAAAAGCAGACACTAGATTTATTTTGGCATTAGAGTAAATACGATCTTTTGCCTCCAATCTGTAACGCCTGGACTCCAGAGTCTTCTACCTTGTTCTTGTTCGATTTAATACTAAATAGGCTTATCTGGCATTTATACGTGAACAGTGGCAGGATATTTTATATGACGATATCTTGGAACACCTATGTATACATGGCCTTAAAATCCATTCTTGCCATCTTGATTGTGCTCACAGGCTCATCTAATTGCATCATGAACTCAGACTGTTTTATGTGCTTTGATACTATACATTAAGGTATTTGCATCATTTCATTCTATGTTAAAGAGTGGATTATAATGAGTCCTCTGTACTGATGCTGTGTTGTGTATGGATAGAGACTGTCATCTAGTGCAGGGAAGAGGAGTTGCAATTAAAATGGACTACAAAGACCTCTTAATCTCACCTTATTCTGCTTGTTAGCAAGGTTTATCCTCAGTGTCCCCATGCCTTGCAGAACAGTCTTCATAGAGGTCAGAAGATTGTCCAGTACTGCAGGCTGAGTGAAACATGTCAAAGACATTTTGTCATTTATCTGCCACCTACAAAGTTGTTTTGGCCTTTAGGCAGGACAGATAACCAATTTTACCTTGAAACTTATAAGCTCTTGTTTGGAGAATCCATGATTATGGATTATCTTTATCTGTTTGACAATTGTACTCTTTCCAGTCTCTGGAGCACCTGACACATACAAATTGAAGAATTAATTTAATTTTAATTTGCCAAAACGTAACTAAAAATATATAACTGATACATATATGAATAAACACCGAGCATAAGGATTTTGACCACATTATTCTCCATGCTGGCATGTTTGTGAAGGTCCCGTTCTATTTTAGAGCTTTGGACTTTTGCCTTTTTATGCTCCTCTGCAACATCCTTGTGAAGGCACATTCCCAGGCACAGCTAATGAGAGAGAGAAAACAATATGCAAATTATAATGTATAAGATACACCTTTCACTTTAACACTTACATACCGTTCATACTTCATGTCTTCATTTATTCAATTTTAGATAAGGAAACTTATACTGCCCAACTTTTCAACAGTCACTTTTCTTTTTATTTCTTTCATTTTCTTTCCTCAAATACACTATTCAAACCTTTGTGAAATAAGAAAACGGGTATTATTTTATTTCAAATTATGCAAACTGATATAGTGAATAATAAACTAAAAAAAAAAAAAAAAAAAAAAAAAAATAATAATAATAATAATAATAATAATAATAATAATAATAAATATATCACATATTTATTTCAGAATACTTTATCAATCTCTCAGGAAATTATGTGGGTTACAGTTGCTCCAAGACAGTAACAGACTAAACCAATTAAGTAACAAGTTACAAAGTTACAGAATTTACAAATTTAAGAAATAGCACTAATATATACAAATTGCTCAATTATAAATATCAAGAATATTGACAAAGAATATTACAGAGGTGGAATATATATGATTATATATATTTATTATAAATAAATGTGATAAATACTTTGGTCCACAGAAATATTGTTTAATAATATTTTATGTTTCATAAAGATAATTTTGTAATGTTTGTCTTATATTTATGTCAACAGGGTTGTCACAGACAGACAGATAGATGGCCAGGCTTTGTCTGGTGACACGTTTTTAACAGTTTTAAGAAACATTTCAAATATTCAAAACAAAAGTTTCTATACCTTAATCGTTATATTTTACATGCATTTTAGTTATCAAGTTAGAACAATTTTTTTTTGGGGGGGGGGGGCTTCTCAAAAATTAGCTCGTATTTTTAAATGAAAAACAAATTAAAATTTTGAGAACTTTTTCAACAACCACGTTTACATGTCTGAGGACGTGTGTAATTTATACCATAAACATAGGTTTTAGTGTTTAGTGCATGAGTTATTGTAAATCCAAAACTAGGAGAGGAAGTACCCTGCAATTAAAGAATGACTCGTTTTTCCCCTCTAATTTTTTTTGTGTGTGTGTGTGTGTGTGTGCGCGCGCGCGGTCACTTTAGGATAAGTAATCGCAGTTCAGCTAACAGAAGAGGCGCAGAAGAAAGAACTTTCACTGCCGCCAAATGTCTAAATGGGTCAAACCAATGACTGTATATTCTATTTTTAAGAGGTCTTGAGTTGTTTAAATGAAACGATGACTCACCTGCAGTGGGGCTGGCAGTACATTTAGACATGAAAACATCTCTGGGTTGTTGCTGGTCACTCTGGGATGGTGATAAACCGAAGATATTTTTCGTTGGGGTGATAAAAACAAACGGAATGGCTAATTGGCTTTAATTAGGGCCACGTGCGTGCCTCTGTCTTTCAGAATGCGCGCCGCGTTCATGCTAGCTTTTTCTTAGAGGGTCACGAGCTACACCCAACTAAATAAGCTATAGGTACTGACCTGTATGCGGTGTATTCCTTGAAGGCTGAGGTGAGCTGTTCATTTTCCCAAGAGGCCACTTGAGAAATGAGTGTTTGGCTTATAAGATTATACAAAGATGATAGCACATTTGACTTATTGTCGTGAACCTCCGCAGCAGTCCCAGTTTCTCATGTGGACCTTTGAAAAAAATGAATTGTCCACTCCTGCTTTAAAACATCGTAATTAGTAATGATCAAAATTAGAACATGTTCTTATTTCAGCTTCATGCCTCCAGTTTAAATATGTGTTTTTATCAAACTTTCTTCCACAACATGTTTTTTGAAAGCTTACAGCACATTGCTGTGCGCTAATCAGATGCTATTAATAATCTCAAATTAACGGTTTGACATTTAGCGAACTCTGTGTGACTCAGATGTGGCAAAATTAAGATCAGATTATCTCCTTCTGTCTCTCTAATCAAAGGTCACTTCTGTGTCCAAAACATAACTCTACCCTTTTTATAATGTGACTAATGTGCGGCTTCATCATCCGCCTCTTAAACTAAGGAATCAAATTAGAGGTGAAGACAAATCACACAGTGTGCATGAAAGACAAAGAAGACAGCAAACAGCTTTTCAGAATAAATTCTTATTATCAGCAATAATATACTGCAGCCTAATCGGTTTCTGCAGCATATGTAACATAAAGATTATAGCCTATACTTAATACATTCCAAACACACATACAGACATATCATTATGTTTCTGAAACGATGCAAAAACATCTATACAGTAATTAATGGAGAGGAGGCGAGTAAAATATACATCTACAAAAAATATATAATTTAATCCTGTTTGATCTAGAGACAGACGTTAAATTGAGACTGCACGATCAACTCCACAACTCTGAGCATCTGCCATAGTCTTCTAGTTATACTGTGAAAGCTAAAGGTTTAAACAGTATATTAGAATAAATGTGTAGCGTGTTGGTTAAAAAAAAAAGAGCTACTGCACACAAAAGTCCAGGTGTTCAGTTCAGATCTCAATTATGTGCATTTTTTAAGTTTAGAAAAAGAAACGGAACAAAAAACTAAATTAAAAATGTTTCTTTAAATTCCGGAGTAGTCAGTGTTGTCTGAAACAGAATCTGGTATGTACAGAAAAGAGAAGCAATGAGATTTATCTCCTGATTCTCTAGTGTTTTTCAGCGTCCTCCATGAGCCTGCGGTCACTTTATAATACACACAGACACACACAGTGTAATCGATTAGTTGTGAGGCTAGCCTACTGCTGGGCTAAACAGCAGCATCTGTCCCGCTGAAATGACAAATCAAATCACATCGCAAGACAGTGCAAGATCTCACACTGCATATGCCCAAGAAATAAGATAAAATGCCTTTTTTTAAATAGGAAAAAAGTATTTTGAGAATTAAAAATGACATAAAATAGACATTTGAATATATAGTGACATCTTCCTCCAAACTTTGAATATATCTTATCATTTGCATGTGCGATTGTTGACTGACACAAACATATAATTGCATATGCAGAACATGTTAACAAACCCTCGTAACACACTATATTAATACCTGATGATCCCACAGCAGGTTACGCCACCCTCGTCAAAGAAGGGGCTGCTGTTAAGACTACTGATATTAGCCAGGATCAGGTGTGGAGGGTGTCATAGCACTTACAAAAGGGTTGATTATAATGTACATGAGTTTATATTAGTTGAATATGTCACTGTTAGCTGGAGGTGCCTACAGCACAGCCTGTGCTCTTTCTTTAGTCTTTTCCTCCTCTAGTCTTTTCATGGCTTCGATCACTGCAATCTCTTTGGCCTCTTTCTTCTGGTTCCTCGCCTCAAACAGCAACCTGAGTCAAGGGAAAGTGTAAGTAATATATAGTAAGCCTAGTTTCAAACAAATATACACTCATTGGCCACTTTATTAGGTATACCTGTTCGACTGCTCGTTAATCGAACTAATGTAACTGTAAATGTTAACTAACTCCAGGTTAAAAGATACCATGATTGCATCAAGATGTACGATAAATTTACTACATCTGATTGTTTTACCTGTTTTTGATTATCCTTTGCACGATGGCGTCCGTAGTGAGGCTGTTCCCGCTGTCAACAGTGCGCAGGATCCCTTTTCTTCTGGGCTCCTGAGTATTAAGGAAAAACTGTAAGTAAACACTTATATATGTGTTTTCATTAAAAAAAAAAAAAAATCGCAGCATATTTGTGGGAGTCTTACAGCATAAGGGTCAGATCCATCTTTGTCGGGATATATTTCTGTCTTTCCGTGGCAAACGAGATCCACCTGTGGAAATTAAGTCACGTGTTTCACTGTATTATTTCTTCCTGTTACCTATGCAGTGATAAAAGTTAATTATAGCGTGTGCACGTACCTTAAAATGATCCAGCAAATCTTTTGTGACAGCAAACGGTGCACCGATCACCACTTCTGACACATACTGTAGAAACAAAAAAAACAAAAAAAAAGAATATAATTCATAGATTTATAATCAATGAACTTTCATTGTTCTGTGCTGATTGATAAAGTTTAAACAGAACTTACTCGACAAGCCAGGACGCTGAGAGTCCTCTCGTGGACATTCATGATGGGGTAGTTTTTCCCTTTGTAGCGATTCACCTCCTGAATGATATGAACGCAAGCATTGAGAAATCTCAAAAGGAGGCAGTAAATGTCTCACAAAGATATAGAAATACTGACCTGATCAAAGTGTAGCCCCACTATAATGTAAGGCTTTTCTGCAAGCTTATGCACGGCTTCCAGAAAGTCCACATGGCCAATGTCTGGTAGGAGACTAGTCAGGAATGCATTCCAAATACTATTGCGTAGCAACTGTTTTATGATTTAAAGGGAAAAAAAAGGTTGGTGTATAATAAATTCTAGCAATTATTGTGAGGTTAACAAAGGATACGGAAGAGATCAAAGGCTCCTGCCACATAGATTATAGTTTCTCCAGGTTGAGGCTCCTGGCCTGAGGCAAACTGGATGATTTTCTGAGATGTCTGAAGGAATTGAGACACCCCTGTCCAGGGACTATGGCCCTTCTGGTCAATCAAGAAAGAAGAAAAAGGAAGTGTAATGTGACAAGTAGGAATACAACAGATTTACTTCAGTATAGCTGGTAGTATTAACAGGGACTAGAAAGTATTATCATATTTCTCTGATGCTACCTTTTCTTCAGTGGTTCCATTACAACTCCAGAATTGAAATTTTCAGACAGACACTGTGTCTACTTTTACAATTAGGCTTAAAACTTGTTCTTCTGATAACGTTTACAGGTAGATGTTGCTATAGGCTGAGCCTGCTGTGACGCCCTGAGCATTTCCTCAGAACAGATCGCATTCTGTTAAAAGGGGCTTCTTCATTCTCGCCATTACCTTGCTGACAGGACAAGTCAGATTTGGGGAATTTTTTTTCCTATAAGACACTAGGGTCCTTTACCTTACAGCATAAAGTATCTTGAGGCAACTGCTATATAAATAAAATTGAATTGAACTAAACTGAGCATTGCCCCTACATATGAGACCAGAATTAAACTTGTGCTGCATCACTGCCACCCAGTGGTGTAAGTGGTCAATGTCACCTTTGGTCAATAGCAGGCCTACAAATCCAGAATGCATTTATTCATTCCTCGCCAAATTCACAGCATTACTCTTCCACTCTTAAATGTGGAGAGACCCTCTATTTCTTTGAAGCTGTTTAGAGCCACAGCATGCTGGCTCTGAGTTACTTTCCCCATCCAAAGAACAGAAGTGGCATTCAGTATTGACTGGAAAGGCCTTCCACTTGATTACAAAGTGGGTCCTAAATCAAAGACCTTTATTTAATTATCTCTGACATCTGGTCCAAACACCAAAGTTTGCTACTTAAATAACAAAACAGTTAAGTAAGAGGAAGTCAAAGAGCCAGCAATCTTTGGTCAAACACACCCAGCTGAAAGGCTTGACTTTGAGCTGAAGTTTTGATATGAACTGGCTCATAAGGAAACCATCAAATGAAGCCAGAAGTAGAAAATTGACTTACTTTTCCAAAGTTATCTGTGTGCTCCTGATAGTCTGAAGTGTCCTAAAACAGCAGATAGGAGAAGTTTAGCTTTGTATTCTGATCTGAGCTCATACAGAGAGAATCTGGTGATACTCACAATGTTGCTGTGGTGGGCTTTGGTCATCAGCAGCATCCTGCCAACTAAGTCTGTTGTTGAAACTCCCTGGGTTCGCTTGCACTCCCTGTAACATCACGGCACAGTATGTAACTTTAAAAAAAAGAAACATCCCACCCTGGCTATGCTTATTTGGAAAGGAAAACTCACCTGTACCGTCCTGACTTCTTCACCTCTTCATACGTATCTTTTCCATCCACAGTTAATGTTATATCGTCTGAAAGAACAGCATACATGAGTTCTTCTCTAAACTTTAGAGAAATACAGCTGCCTACGACTCCAGCTACGTGTCTAAATAAGGGCGTAGGGTGATGATATTCCATACCTCCGTGCACACAGAAGTCACAGTTGTACTTGTCGAGGGTCTCGAGGGTGGTGACATAAGGAGCTCCTTCCACGACCTCGTCCACCCATTTTATGGCCCGCACCATCTTATATCTTTCTTCCTGAGTGAAGACTGGGGGACCCTTGTGCTTTGAAATCTCACCTTGCAAACAAAAAATAAGTAGAGTGATTGAGACACTCGTAGCAGATGCATTTCTTCTTAAGTTGAAAGAAAGGTTGCTGCTATCTGTGTTGGCCCTGACCGTCAAGGCATTCTGTGTTATCACAATGTCAGAGTGCCCCAGTGCACTCTGTGCACCACAGGAGGGTGGGGCACAGCTAAGGCGCCCTGCTACTGTCACAACAACTCTTTCCAAGTGCAGTGGATGCAGCTGGTGCCTGACTGGTAATGACAGGACTGAGGAAGATATACAAGCCCTGCAGGTGCTATGGTAAGGAGAAATAGCAGAATGCATAGTATAAGCTAGACTATGCATAACAAATGCAGACAGAGGATTTCTGTTACACATGTACATGTGTAAGGGACACATATATGTGTACATTATTTTGAGCCTTACTGTCTGTGTGTACTCCAACAATGAGGTAATCTCCCATGGCCTTGGCCTGCCGCAGCTGGTTGGAGTGGCCGTAATGTACCATGTCATAGCTGTAAAGGAAAAACACATGAAGGAAGAGTATGATTACTCACAAAAGCTCCCTTGTAGTCAGGTACAGTGTATAGAGCAGGGGTGGGCAACTCCAGGCCTCGAGGGCCGGTGTCCCTGCAAGTTTTAGATGTGTCCTTGAACCAACACAGCTGATTTAAATGGCTAAATTAGCTCCTCAACATGTCCTGAAGTTCTCCAGAGACCTGGTAACGAACTAATCATGTGATTCAGGTGTGTTGACCCAAGGTGAGATCTAAAACCCGCAGGACACCGGCCCTCGAGGCCTGGAATTGCCCACCCCTGGTCTAGAGGGATGAAGTAAAGCATCAAGCTTGAATTAGAGCAAGAAGATCTGGCAGCTGTTCGTTGCATAACTCCTCTTCAAAATACCGTATTTCTTTTATTATTCCTCGTCATAACAAGTAAGCCAAGAACTTTTTGGTGAACCAGATAAATATGTGATCGTTTTAATTTTGAAAACAACAATGTTGACTATCTTTTGAATCTTTTTTTGGATTGTCTTTATGCCCTCCGGATTAAAGTGAAATTAAGCGCATTAATAAAAGAAGTTTTAATTCATGGATTATAACATTTGAAAAAATACTATTATGTATTTATACATTTACAAGGTTCTTTTAATATAAATCAGTTGGTATCAACCACAAACATATTTAATCAAAGTCTCAAAAATTACAAACAAAATGTCAGTGGGTGTGTGGTTTCGCTTCCTCTTCTCTCCTCCCCTTGCAGGATGCCATCTGTACATAATTAGATTAACACATATTGGACACTAAGATTGTAACACAGTAATCTAGCATAGTGATCGAGAACAGATGGGCATTAGGCCTCCATTGCTATCACTACTGCCAACAGTTGACATCCTGTTTTTCTTTCTGATCTACTCTGAATGCGATATGTTGGCGCTGATATAAACAACGGAGTAAGCATGTACTCTGATGAAGGAAACTGCAGGTAACACAGAAAATGAACTGAGGTGGATTAAGATTAAAGTACGTTAAATGAGCCGCTCCTCATTTTTTTATGTTTAGCTTCTACTGAGCCAAAGGGGTCTTAAGCAATAGTTAGCAATAATTAGTTTGGCAACTTTTAAATGTTTCTGCATGACAGTAATCCCCCCAAAAAACTCCACAATAAAAGACTATCAGTTATAGATTGACATTCCCATTACCAGATTGCATACATTATTGTATTTTATATAAACTTTTTACACTATTGTATTACACATTTGCATTCTCATGAGGAAATCCCAGAACAGCACTATGAATAGCATCCTAAAAAACTCAATAAGAAAACAGCTCCACCAGGGCAGAAACAGATCCCGTGTTGTTCTGTGATGTCAGTCTACATAGCTAGGCTACGAATAGCCTGCACTGCACTGAGCATTGACAAGAAATTATAAAAAGTAACCTGAATTTTGATCGTGATCACTGCTCACTAAAACCAAACAAACTAAAAAAAACTCATCAGGAATTAATTTTGTGTTTGTGTCATGTGCTACCAATCTGCGGAAACAGGATCGACGTGTGCAGGCGCTGAAGGAACAGAACCGGCCGTGAGAAAGTGACACGGGAGCATTTGGAGGTGAATGATATGAGATGAAAACTGAGACCCGGACAGTGACAGGAATAATGCTTTTACAGGTGCTAAACTATCTTATAACATGTGACCATATTCCTCTTGTATTTTTTAGGAGTGGATCATCAAGCGTATCACTGGAGGATGATGAAATATTAATTAGTGTACTCTGTTAGGAGACACCCAAACTGCACCTAAGCTTCTCAGTATGAATAACAAACATCTCTGTACAAAAGTGTAGAAAATAGTGGATCTGTAAAGATCATCATCTTCCTTTGGTTTAAATGGACTCTAATGCCACAGTGTATGAGAGGAGATATGTTACATGCACTCACTCGTATGGACACGAATGTTAATTTTGAGCTGTTAATAATTTCTTTGAACAGTTCTTTGTTCCAGGGTGGAAAAATACAGCATAGATTTTTGATGACTTCAGAGTTGTGTCAACACAGGGTCAAAAGTATAAATACAGTCAAATAACTTATTAGTGGTACTGAAGGTTCTATAATGTCTTTTAACTTGACAAGTCAAGACCTATTAACTTCTCGTTAGTGAACATGTTTCACTAGAACAGGCAGTTTCTTTTGAAAAAATTCAAATTCAACTAAATTTGCAGCTGCTCATGTAGACATGTTTCTATGTGAGCAGCTGCAGTGATGATGACTAATCTACTTCTCCAAATGTCTTCTGGAGAAACGGTTAATTATCAGACAAGACAAAAATTGAACTATTTGGTCACAATGACGGGGTAAGTTTGGACGAGTAAAGATGAGTACCAGCGTACCAAATTTCATGCATGGAGGTGGTAGCATCGTGCTCAGGGGGTGTTTTGCAGCCAGTGGTACTGGTACATTGCACAAATTGAATAAAATAATGAAAAAAAACTCCCTCCAAATTCTTTAACTTTATCTCAACTCAGCAGCTAGATGGTTGAAACTTGGACAAATTAGTGTTCCAGCGGGATAATGATTCTAAACACATCAAAACTTGTTTTAGAATAAAGTAGGCTATCACTGAGCTTCTGAAATGGCCTTACCAATGCCCAGACTTCAACTCTATTGAACATTTGTGGACTAGACTTAAAAGGCAGATCTGTGCCAAGAAACCAATCAATTTAAATGAACTCTACAAATTCTGTCAAGGAAAGTACTCAAATGTCCAACCACAATTATAGAAGAAACTTGTTGATGGCTACCAGAAGCATGTGGTTAACGTGTGACTTGCTGAGGGACATTTAGCCAAATATTAGTGGGGCTTTATGTATATATTTGACCTGCATGTGTGCATACATGCATAGAAAGTATGAAATAAATGTCATCTGGCGCCCAAAATATAAATAATTAAAGATGTATAGTGTACAATCATTACATGCTGGAAAAAGAAAAGTTCAAAGAAATCATTAAATCCACAAAATTAACAAAATTGACATCCATGCCCATGATGAGTGTATGTAAACGTCTGATTACAATTTATGAGGCTGACTGATTAAAAATTCAGTGGTTATCTCTCAGGACCAACAGTCTCAGATAATCCTGGGATGAATGAGCACACCAGTACTTTACAAAGGCTTTGAATAACCACTTTACAGTCTTGCTTGTACCTCAGCAGATAGTGGAAATAGACTTTACACTCTTCCTTGATGATGCCTGTTTGACAATTGATCTTTAGCCCCGGTCACCTTCTTTCACAGTGACAAATAAGAACAGAGAAACAAAAGGAAGAAGAAGACGGTGCAGGGTCAGAAATATCTCAGCAGTTGAACTGAATGTGCACTTTCCTTGGACTTTTTCCTCACAAGTTGCTGACACAGCAGGATATCAGTAGGAACATGGCGATGTACTGTACAGTTAGCCTTCGGGGAACAATGTGCTCAGTGAGAGGCACGGCCGCACAAGCTGTGGACGGCCTGAGCAGGTGTGGGCTGGAGGGGTTAAGGGGGTTAATGACAAGAGCTCTGTTGGCATTGGCTCTCTGTGCATGCTCACCCCACCGGTTAATATTCCGGCATCCCAAATATTCTGCAACATACCATCAAACAGCTACACAAAAATGGCAGGATTTCTACAAGAGAAAGCCACCATAATCCTTGCCTTCATACACAGAAACTCAAAACATCTAATTTGCCGCTGCAGCATGACACCATCAAAGTTCGGTCTTTCTACCAGTGGAGACATTTGACAGCAAGCTCAGTTAATTGTGCTCTTTGTGTAGTGCAAAATGCCCATTATAACTACAAACAAACACCTTCATCCTATGGCTTTTTTTCATTATATTTTCACACATTTGCGGAGGTGACAACAGCTAACATGAGAAATTTCTTGTGAAATATTTTCACTTCATCAGCTAATGTTTGCAGCTCTTTTTAAACATTTTATCACATTTTCTAAGAACTCGGACTTCAATACAGAGTTCAATATGCTCCCTGTTTATTCTTAAGCTACGGACCTTGGTGCGAACAGCCACGTTTTTTTCACACGGAGGTCAATGGAATGGAAAAGGCTGGGCTGTTGTCGAGTTTTTCAAATTCCATGAGAACCACAAACAAAATTCCATCTGCATCCATTGTTTCTGGGATGGACATGGATAAGTCTATAACCCCTCTAATACACCCATAGTTATATAGGAGTATGGATTAATGCCAAATGTGTCTTTTACTAAAGAAACCTTCAGCAATCAATATGCAACTTTTATGTTCTGTTGAGCTGGCGATGGCAAACAGATATTCCCAGCACATGCTCTGAAGGGGAGTTAGCTTCACTGTGAGCTCACCGAAAAGTGCCAAGGTGACATGTCTGAAATACTAAAAGGCTGACCAACAACCATGAGTGCTTCTAAAATAACATTTTCATACTTCAGATTCACACCGAACACCTCTGTGCTCGCTGCATGACTGGTTACGACAATTAACTGTGACTATCAGAGCTCAGCTGCTCTTACTGGAGGGCTAAGTGATTTACTTGGATATTTTAACACCACCAGCTTACTTAATTAAATTATTTAAAACCAGAGTTACTGTTTTACTTCTCAGTCTGACTGTTGTTTGTGTACTGTATACTGTATATATCATATTTAAAAGTGTGACATTAGAGCTAAAGAAGCAGAGCAAGCAAAAATCGAACTTTGTCCTGTCATGTACGTTTGCTGTTCTGCAAGACAAGAGCTACGATTCATATCTGTGATCATATGAATCATTACCTGTATTACATCAAAGAATGCACAAATAATGATATCATAAATCAGATATGATTTTTTGTTATTCCATTACGTCACACAGAAGCAGACACCCCGTTTTACAGATGTCATTAAGGAGGCGTTACAGTTATTCCGAGTCAAGATAAGGATAAGTGTCCTGGGATGTTTCTCTTTTAATTGCCTCTTACCCAAACTAAGGCACATGTGATTGTAATAAGCGTAATTCTTCAGGTTTCTCAGAGAAACTCTTCACTTGCCTCTTTTTGCCATTTAATACTTTACACACACAATTTATTTTTCTACTCCATAGAAAAAAAAATCTTTAAAATGAAAGTAAGATCAATACCAACTGGTCGCTGCTACGAGACCAGTAAATACACCTAGTAATGATAGGAAGTCGCAGTAAACTGTAAGTAGATAAAATAGTAATCAATTAACTACTTTGGTTTGTCCTCTTGGCTTCTCACATGACCTCTTCAAAATCCAGCATAAAGTGAACTACTCTACAGACTCTGGTCACGGTTAAATGGTTATGAGCAAAGGCAGCTGCAAAGATCACATCTGTGCTGATGTTCTACTAATGTCCTTACTGAGAAGAGCACTAAAACTGGGCATGATGACGTGATTGACCGATAGCAGGATATACACTTTAAGCAGCATCCCCACTCAAGAAGTTGTGTGCATGCTGATACCAGTGAAGAATGAAGCAGCAGCGCTGTGAGCGTCCTGTAACCTGCAGCAGGCCTGTCCAGCAGCAGGTATAATGCTGCCACATCCAATGAAACGTGCTCGATGCAAACAGTGAGCATAACCATAATGCCGTGGTATCTTCATCACGCATTTAATGACTCACCAGCCATCGCACCACACCCGGATTCTTCGCCTTCTCTTCTCCGGACTGCAAGCTGTAGCGCCCGGGGTCGTGCCTGCGTCTTTCCCGGCTGCTGTGTTCACTTGGTGATGGTTGTGGTGATGCCCGTTCTTGATCATTGTGGATGTGCTGACTGTGCTGAATTTGCAGCCCGGAGCGGGAGACGGACTCTCGTCAAATGAGGCGGTTACCGGACCGTGTCGGTTCGTGCGTGTCCCGTTTCAGCAGGACAGCTGGTGTCTGTATCAGCAGCGGCGAGGCAGCAGCAGTAGTGCGTTGCGCCAATGCCTCCTCTACCGGCGACGCAGAGACGCACGACGACCTTTGCGTCAAGCTGATCAAAAACGCGGATGAACCAGAGAGGAAAGGAACACCATTAATAAAACCCGGTGTGTCACATCGCTGCGCGTTGGTTTTATTTTGAAAAATCTGGCTCACAGCTCCACGTTTATTGAGGCTCACTTGACAGAGGTCTCATCGTACGATGGTGCCGCGTCCGACACATTGTTACATAATAGCGGCGTTTTCCACCGTCAGGTGACGAGATCTGGATTCCAATATAAAATAGCAGCCTCTGCGTCTTTGATGAGCGGAGAGGTCATGATAAGCTTTGCTCTATATCCCCAGTACACTTTGTTTTGCTCACAATTATCTCTGCATAAATAACAATAATAATAATAAAGGTAAGGATTAAAAGATTTTGTAGACACTGTAATATTTTATTTTTTTCCCCATTAAAATTAAAAAAACATTTTTAAATAAGCTATAGCAGCCAATTTTATTAAAAAATACGACCATCTGATTTCATAAATCTGTAGTTTACTCAAATTTAAACTAATTCATTTTCCTTATTATCCTTATGCATCCAAGCTCGCTAAATATTGCACTTTACAGCTGTTATATTTATCATGGTGTCATCTGTTCATTCCACTTTGATGATTTTAGCTGTGGGTTGTACTGTGTCTAATGACTTGTCCAAGCTCATTTAGCAGGGGCAGTATATCAATAAAGGTCTCAGCACTGTCAGCAGATTTTCACAACAGTACCTACAGATGTATGCCTGGGTGGATGGCTAAAGATTTACTACAGAAGCGATGCATTAGATTGTAAGTGCTCCTAATATACATAGTTGGGTTATAACAGAAACTAACCACCTACCCCGCACCACAGTAGTAACGGGGCTACAAGACAAAGTGCTCAAAGTCTATAGCATACTCCTGTTTTCTCAGTTAAATTTGTTTTGTAAAACATGGCATAATTAAATGACTTCACTTTATATGCCTGGTAAACACTGGGAAATCCTCCTGTTTAGAAGTGCTGTCATCTTATGGGGGAAACCCAGTTAAATCATATAAAGGCTTTAACACTGATATGCCAGCAGAGGGAAACCCAAGCCCACACATTTCTGAACAGGTGCATGCTCCTGAAAGACAGTTTTACTCATTATATTCAATACCCTGGCTTCCATCTTTAGCTGATTTGAATGTTTCAATCAGGGTAGGAAAGGGTGTTAAGTATTTGTCTTATAGCTGGGATTGCACCAACTCTGATAAGTCTTAATGGTTATGGAGATTTTTGCAGTTAACTCACATGCACCACCATAACAATCTTCACTGATTAGAACGAGGGGGGGGAAGGACATATACATGTATTGTGTCATGGTGGTCTTTGTAGAGAAGAGCCCCTTGCTCAGCTTTGGCAGTGCATATGTGTTACATCAATGGCCTCACTGACGGCATTGGCAACATTAATTGTACAGCAGGTTGCGGTCTAAGAACTGGGGCAGGCACCTGCTGCAGAAGTGGGTAAAGATGAAGAATGCTGTCCTAGATTGCCCACCAGCTCACCTTAGCCCATCCTGCCAAATTAATCAACTCTTCAGAGGCCGTATGCTTGTCTGGGGCAGGCATCCAAGGAGGGGAGAGGAGCCTGTTTTAATGCACAGGTCACGCAGACCTGTAGAAGCCTCCTCCATTTAAAAGAACTAAAGAACAATACAGGCACTGGGGTTTACACATGCCCTGCAGGATGGTGTGGCAAGATGTAGTTTGTCTTCAGCCATCTGTCTCTTTGTCTTTGAATGTTCTCTCATGAGATGCATTTTGACTGCGCGGGGGTTGAAGCGCTGCTGAGGAGGCTGATGTTTGATGAGGTGCACTGAGACGAGGGGTAGGGGTGGGGGGGGATTTAGAAGCTCCATAGGGAGCTGAGATGACTAACTCACTACTCCTCCTAATCTAGGACAAGCACACCTAGACATCCTTCATGACTCTAATGTTTTACTCGTGTCGGGCCAAAAATATGTCCACCGAGGTTAGCCAAAGTGGGTCGCCCAACGGCTTTTTTTGGATCACAGAAAAAGAAATTGTGCCATCTAAATGATCGCTGTCTTCTAAAACCCACCCTGGATGGCAAAAAGCCTTCCCCGCCAGTTTATTTTTAAAAGTATCAAACTGGGTCAATGACGCCACAGAATATGACAAAACCTAATTTCGACACTTTTTAAACGCCTTAAATGACAGAGTAGTAGTGCTGAAAACCCTTTTCCAAAACATTTTATTGGTCTTATAGAAAATAAAGTAAGCTGTATCAACAAACATACAATATATACATCAATAACTTAGACACCTCAGAGAATCACATTTAAATCCACAGTTGTTACTGTATATATGAATACATAGTACTTATCTACAGATTGCAAAAGTACAATAATTTAATTTATAAATAGTTACAATTAACTATTGTCTGTTTTCATACAAAGTACTGCAATATTTTATTACAACCCATACAGAAAAATAACAAAACAGATTATTAACTTTGTATTACTCGCTTTAGTCAGATTTGTATACCTTTGAAACACAGACCCACTCCATAGAGAAGAGGGGAAAAAAACCTGCACAGTCAACCATTTACAAAGCATAACTTCATGAAAAAAGCCAATGTCTTGAGAGCTATTAAAAATCAACTGCCACACAAGTGCTGCTATTTATCCTCTAACATGTTGCTCAAACAAATACAAAAAACAAACAAACAAAAAAACAAAACAAGAAAAAGTCAAAAACGAATTAAAAAGGAAATCTGCAGAACAAATTACAGTGTTAAGATCAATTTCAAATTCACACGCACGACACATAATGAGAACAGAAACGTTGTGGATGATGCTACAGCAAAACAATGAGCATTAACGACTGGTGTAGCAGCAGAGGAACTTCAACCGTACACAAACGCACACACACACGCACACACACACACACACGGAGGGAAAAAAAATATTGCAAGTGGCCCTTGTGGCAGAATCCATCGTAGCATCAACATTATTTAGTGCATAAATATCTAAATAATAGCAGTTCATTTCAGTTAAGATCCAAGTTTAATTAATGGATTTGTATTCAGGTGATTGGAGACCAGAGTAACTGAGTAAGGCTTGAGTGCAGCTGTCACGATTCCTTTAAAAACCTTGACAGCTTTGTTAGCGGCTTTAACCAAGGGCCAGTTGCTCTCCCACAGAGGGATGCGAAAAAACATAAATAAATAAAAATCTACAAAACATCAAGAATGATTAAAGAACAGACCTAAACTCTGACAATATTGATTACTCTTACATCTACTCTTTCACACCTTTCCACTGAGTTGCATATTAAGGGTCACTTTTTCACAATGGTCATTAATACCTACTGTAGCTACATACTATACAGCTGTATGTGAGAGAAAGAGAATCATCCCCGGAGGAGATCGAGAGATTGGTCAACAGTGCCACTCGAACACCTTAAAGACACTTGACACGAAAAAAGATTCACTCCACAAGACTGCCACAGCAATAAGGACGCCAACATTGATACTGGGCTATGTCGAGAGTCAGGTAATATATATTTTATCCCACAGTTAACCAGTCAATGCAGATAGCTAAGCATGTTGACAAAGTGAGGCTAGGATACGGACAGTATTACCAGCACTCAGATCTCGGGCAGTTTCACTGAGGCGTATCGTCTGCGAGCGGCTGCAGATTAACACCTCAGCCGACACTTTAAGACGTTCTGACCAGCAGGAGAGGGAGATCTGGATGAAGTGCATTCTGTTAATGTCATTAAACACCTACTTTCACCTTGAGGTGTAGACCTGCTTCAGTGTTAAATTCCTTTTAGAGGACCAGCAGAGTGATGCAACACTTGGCACAGAAGGAGCTCTCGCTGGCAGCTGTTGATTGTAATTCTACATAGTCGCACTGTGCCTCTTTCTGAGTGTGGATTGAAGCCCTTTATGACATGCTTATTAGAAAAAAAGGAGGAAAAAAAAAAAACAGAAAAAGAACAGAGCTGCCATCCCCGCCTTCTTGCCTCTTATCTAGAATTGTTTGTTCATTTTAAGTGACCTGTTTTGTCCTGAGCAAAACAAGCAGGAGCTTAGTGCATACAAACCTTCAGCCAAACCCTTCTGCTTTTAATCAGACAATCTGAAGACCAGTGGGTAGATTTAGAAGAGTGATGCTACACCTCTTTGAGGTTAACCTTGCAGCATCTTATTTTTACTAGCGTGACAAGGTGCAAGGTTTGTCAACAACATTTGCAGGATAACCGCACGCCCACAGGTAAATTCTAAAAGATAGCTTTTAAGGGCACTCTATCCCTGCAATGTAATTTACACCAATGATGTTGCTGGAATAATAATAATAATAAAATCCTTTACTTCCCGGTTACAGAGGATGTTTTTAGAGGGCATCCAGCACTAGATGCAACCATTATTCAGTTATTACTTTATGCTTCAAAAAGTCTTTTGACTTCATGTTCACTAATGCCGTTTCATCAAATTCTGTCATTCGTGGCTCAATGTGGTAAACTCGTAATGACAATATGATTTGTAACTAACACCAAGGAAGCGGAGGATATCACAGATGCCAATACGCACAAAGACAATTGACCTTGTTTACACCATCTAGTTTAGCTCTACAGATTTGTTTTAAATAGCACAGCATTGACATCTATACAGTGAACGACACTGCCAACTTGTCACTTACACATCACATCACGCGCTACCCCACAGTACGCGCCTAGTCACTAGAAAAAGCTATCAGACTTTAATAGTAAGCCACTTTCGGTACAATTGCAAAAAAGATGTCACAGGATTTTTTTTTTTTTTTTACGTTTTCTTTTTCTGTATTTCTATAAACAATGGAAGGTAATCTACCTAGTAATAAAAACCAAGAAGTCAACTTTAGACAAAGTTTTCTACACCTTAACAATTCAAACAGTAAAGCTCGTGTAAAGATTTTCTTTTGGAAATATCTGACGGCCCTGTCAACAAGTAATTACAAAAAAACGCAATATATATCTTTTAAACAAAATCAACATATCTCTATGAGCAAAAATTAAGTTTCAAAATGTTTGTGGATTTCACCGTCCCCACAAAACATGAGGATATTACTGTAATAACATTCAGGTTTTCAGATATTGTAGAAGAATCTTGTCATATTGGAATGGCACTCAGCTCTGGAACAACATCATTAAGTGCTGCTGATCTTTTTTAACGTTTCCACCTAAATATGCAAGACCTCTTTGTATTTTCAGTGCATACATATATATTATTATTGCATCTACCAGTCATTTTGAAAATGACAAGTTCACGGAAGCCTGTCGCAGATCCATAAACAGAAATGAATGCTATGTTTGGGAGCATCATTGCATGCTTATATTCTCAACAGACGACCAACAGAATCACAAATTGGACTAATTTATGAGTTTGGGGTTTGTCAGGTTGTTTCAAAGACATCTGTAGCATTAAGACCAAGAGTCTGTGACCAGTTGTCAGTTATCCCAATTTAAGTCAGTGCATAATAACAAGCAAAGGGCTTCTTAGTGAGATATGTGCTGGCTTCTCCTCCTCCCACTCTGTACTGTGGATCTTGTGAGGAATAATGGATCCAATTTATTTTCTTACTGGTTTTGACCACCTGTGAAACTGTACCAATGCTAGTTCTTAGGACGGAAGAGACTTAAGAGCCAGATTTTAGGAAAACTGACATAAAAATCTCAATCAAAACAAGCAAACTTGATGCAGTCTTCTTCAATTTTCCACTTTCTAAATGTTTCAATATTGCAATATTTCTCCTTTGTTTATGGGACAACTGTATCGTCCTAAATTCTAGAGTTTGATTTTTATTACCCTGGTGACAGGCCTGTTAAAAAAAACAAAAAACAAAAAAAACAGACTGGTGTGTTGTTCTGTAAGAGTGAATTTGGAAAGCATATTTTTAGTGTTAGCTCCACGGTTAAAACTGAGAACTCACACAGGCATTCCTGTGCCATGTTACAATGCACTGACTAGTTTAGCCTTAAACATCTTTCTTCTGCCCTTTCTGCTACTACGACCTAGCCTCCGTTTTGGATTTGACGATGGTGATGACGCTGGTGGCAGCTACTTTACCGGGGATGAGGGGACCTATGACAGAAGCCATAGGTCCCCTTGCTGAGGTGACAGGGTTGCGGGCCACAGTCCTGGCAAAGCTCTGGAGGGCCTCGTACTTTGAACGCAGAGCATCCAGCTCCACCTTCATGCTGGCATTCTCTGTAGCCAGCTTGTCCACTTCCTGCTGCAGCTGAGCCTTTTGTTTTTCGAGCTCCTCCTTCTGGGTGACACGCTTTACTCGGCAGCTTGCGGCATAGCCCCGGTTCTTCAGGGTACGTCGCCGTTGTTTCAGCTGCAGGATTTCTTCCTTTGACATCCCCCGTAAATGCTGGTTCAGCTCCCGCACCGACATGGTCACCAGCTCGTCATCTGTTAGGCTGGTGCCATTTTCCCCCGGCTCCCGCTTCACCTGTGCATGGAAATTAGTTAGTGCTGATCCTTTTATTAAAAAAATAAAATCTTATATATATACACACACACACACACACACACACACACATATACACACACACACACACAACCACACACACACACACACACACACACAGGTTACCTTTAAGGCCTTGTTTCCCTTGTTTGTGGTAGTCATGCCACGAGAGCAGCGTCCACCTGTACTACCGGTTGATCTGTGAAAAGAAAAGACAATATATGAAACAAGAGTACTAGAAAAGAAACTTAATTTTTTTTCTGCAAAATACACATTGAAGTATTTTCTGATAACAACAACAGCAAAAACAAAAATAGAAATCACATGACTAAATACACAAAATACAAAGTGGGTCAAGCACTTCAGACTTCCTTCTAAGTAATTGGAAAAACTGGTACCTTGACTGTTCGTGCACTTATGACAAGAACAAATAACTTTGCGGTATGCAACTGCTATAGAGGACACCCAAATTGGTTGGCAGCAATTCCAAAATTATTTCTTGGAAAGCAAACCCCAAAACAACACAGTATAAGTGCAAGTACCATTGGCACATTTCAAAACAGAACAGATCTGGGCCTTTCTACAGCGCATCCATCCTCAAACACCACACATTCACAAAAGTACATGGGGCAGATTTTAAGCTATCCAGTCTAGACAGTCACACCTGTCTAGATTTGGCCTGTGTCCAACTATAATCCTATAAATCAATGAAAAAGCAACCCACTGTAACTACTGCAGAGCCCTCCAGAACAACAGGGCTGCACTGCAGTTTCTTCTGTCATGTCTGCACTGAGGGAACCACCAAGAGAAGCTGCGTCGGTGAGAAGTCCAGCCTACTGGTATTAAGACAGACAGAAGGTCATGTGAATTCCATCGTGCGAGCTCTACAGGATAAGTATGTCCTCACCCAAACACACACACACACACACACACACACACACACACACACACACACACACACACACACACACACAGCTGTGGCCCTGAGTGCTTTACACCACACACAGTAAATGCTGTGTCAGCAACACAGACACCCACCACAGTCAGCCCAGCCCAGCCAGCACATTGCCTCGGTAAGCTGATTTGCACAACCCAGCAGTGTGTGTTTATACTGAGCACATAAACAAATGCTAGCTCTTAGAACTTTTTTTTAACACATCAAAACAGGAAAGAAAGCATCTGAACAAAAGAATGTAAAAAAGAATTACTGTCAGCGTGTGCAGAAGTTTGCAGCATGCGTGCACATTAAGCTAGTCATCAGGGAAATTCATGTCGTCTGCACAGAAGCTCAGTGAGGGAAGAAAAGAAAAACAGATGAGTCGGAGCTCCAAAGTGCACTAAGATGGCCAGGATATTTCCATGGCAACAAAAGGGTGCTACAGGTGGACCGGTCACCTGAGCCAAACAGGGAGAGACAGCCGCTTGTTAAAAATGACCTGAATACGACACTATCACACAGGCTGGGGACATAACATGAGGTCAGACTGTGACTTGAATTCTTGATGCTTTCACTTCAAAAAAAAAAAAAAAAAAGTCCTCTGGCTTCTTATAAAAACAGAAATGTTTCTCTGCGCTGCAGATGCCCATATAAAAAGCTTTTCACGCTCTGCACAGGACTTTTCAAATGTGATACTTTCATCCCTGATGGGCTGGCTATGAATAGCTGTCTGATAGTAACACGTACCTTTCACTGGCCTTTGTGGTGACTCATTTCCAGTAAGCATTTGGACCACAGATGCAAAACATAATGGGATAATGGTCTGCCTGATGATGCACAGATAATGGACAAATAGACAGGAAAGTACTACACTAATAGCTACTGGGATGAGACTAGGAAAAAAAAAGGTTGCATCTTCCAAATTTCATATTAAGCCTATCATTTTCCCCTCAGTAGCCTAGACCCAACATTGTTCAAAAACCAGTTGGAATCTTGAAAATGCAGAGAGATGGCACACTGTCCAAGTTGAGGGGGCGTATTCTGTCACACATCTGTGTAGGGTAACATAGTAGGCATGGTTTGGCACATTGAAAGCTCACCATATGACACTGTGGAAAGACTTCACCCAGGCTGCAAGCCTCCAGCACAGGCTGCTGCCAACAGACGGCTACCAATGACAGGGCATGGCAGAACAACACAGACAAGGTCCAATGCACAGCTGCTCCCTTCCACTACCAGGCTTGTCATACCTCACAGAGACAAAGAGGCATGCTCACACAAACACAGGCAAAGAAAGGAAAACACACCTATAATTTCCCATAAAGAATGACAGGGAAATTTCAGACTTGGTGCACTGATCTGTTGGAGAATGCCCTTGCATTTGACAAAGACATAGTCACAATTTAAAAACAAAAGACACTGATGTCTTCCTTGCACTAATATATTAGCTCCTATTAATGATTTCACGTCTTTTGTGTTTCTAGCCGAAGGAGCGGGAGGCGAAAGCTGCAGCTTAGAGTGCGGGGGCATCGGAGGTAGGGAGCAAGTGCAGGGACATAGACGTCTTTTGTAGATGCTTGCTGAATTTTTATGAATCGCCTGGAAGAACGCTGACAAATCAGAGCTGATTGCTTGTGGAGGAGAGACATCACACCCACAGGAAATAGAAAACGCTGAGTGTGGTCACAGAGAGAAAGAGAATGTGTGAGAGAGAAAAAGAAAGAGACAGAGAGAAAGACAGAGCGAGAGAGAGACACAAAGAGAGAGAAAGAAAAAGAGAGACAGAAAAACAGAGAGAAGCCTTATGTAAAATGCAGGGTCGACAAATTTAGAGGAGCTTGAGAAGAACAGGTTGAGAGAAAAAATAAATCCTGATCTCAGCAAGGACCAAAACCAAGGTGCCAATTAGGAAGTTGTGAAGTTGAACTAACACAACGAGAGCAACCCATCCAACCTTCAAATGCGGTCTTTGTTCATCTGAAGCAATGCAGTGCAGCTTGCAGAGCTAGGGTCGGCTTAGGTTGACTCTGAAGAAGGGAAAGGGGGTTTACAAGAAAAACAAAAACAAACAAAAAAAACCCCCAACAACTCTAGTGCGATAAATGCTGATGTGACATGATAGGTCCGGCCCTCAGCCTGTGGCATCCTTTAATGATCTCGTCCCCTCTGCAGGATCTCTCCAGGGGAGATGCCAAGGATGGACACCATTAGCCAGGGGACTCTTTGTTGAGGGGGAGTCGAGGCTACAGCTTCGACACACTGCATCCCCCTGATGAATATTTATTACTGTCGTTCGCCGCCTAAGGTGGGGGTGGGAGACGGGGCGGGGGTGGGAGGCTGAATAAAGATGCTCAGGAGGTGATTCTTCAAGGATACATCCAAGGCTCTTCCATCAACGGCTGTCTCAAAATGGCGGTGGGCTGTTGGGGATGGGGAGGGGGTGGGGGTGTATTTCTGGTACCGGAGGTGGCACACATGGTGGTTCAGGGCTGCAGGGAGGGCCAGCTCCACTTGACAGCAGTGTAACAAGATTATCAGGGCCATAAGAGCAAACAAAAAACCCCAGCAACCTGCCTCGGAATCCAGATTACGACAGCGCCTGCTCTCTGAATACTAAACACGGCTGGGGAAGGACTAACAGGGTACAGGGTTTGCTGAGACAGGACAGTGGATGGCACATCACGCAACTAATCACATGCACATGCATCCGCACAGTGACAGATCACCAAAACCACACAAGCACATACAAATTTAACTTGTCATGATCAATTCTTGAAAAGAAGCGTCCGAGCACTGGGCACTGGCAGCTTGCTAATGAAGTGAATAAAAGTAGACGGTGGAGGTGCATGCTGATGAAAGACTGTGTTCAGGGGGGAAAAAAAAAAAAAACAACACAAGCAGCATCCAACAATGGCAACAGAGCTCTGTGAAACTAACAGCTGAATTTCATCTCACACCAAACAATACATTTCAACAATTTTCACTCCAAGAGACCACGATGTGGCTCATTTTGATCGTATGCCCAATTTAATTTCTTTTCCTTTCTAAAACCAGTGTGGACTTGTAAAGAAAATTTGCACAGTTTGTACAAGACTGAATAACTAGAGCTGTGGCCCAGATGTAAATTAGGCCCGACAGAAGGGTGATAGAATGTTTAGCACCATTTTCAATTCATTGTCTTTGCAAATTCTGGATATCTTTGATGATTAGCTAAACAACAAAAGGAGAGTGCTTGCTGTAAAGTCAGTACAATCACCTATTCAGTTTCCCTGATCAATAATGTATAAGACCTATAGCCTCTCAGTCCATTGTCACAGACCTTCCAGGAAACAGAATGATGGCAATGACAAAGAAACTGAAAAGCACATGGTAAGTGCCTGAAAAATAAAAGAAATGTCAGTCCTTTTCTATGATTGGGCTTTATTATTTTCCACTTACTCTTTCCAGGTTGACATATTTAATGCAGTGAGCCAACATTTTCACGCTGTACAGCCAATCTCAAGACTTTATGCCTAATCAGAGCCTCTGCTCTTACTCCCTCACTTCTAAGAGAGTTGAAAAGATCGCCTAGATATTCAGATCTAATCATTCCTCCCGTCAGCTGAGCTAAGTCAATTATCAAGCAAGCTGCATGTGTCGGGCGCCATTTAACTGCAAATTAAAAATCAGACTCCTCTGATAGCTCTGGAAGAGATACTGGAAGAGTGGTATGAACTTGTGTGTGCAGAAAACAGTGTGCGAGTGCGTCTGAGAAAGGTACGACGGGAAGAGGGGAGGGAAGCTATTAACTACTAAGTATTCAGAGCGTGAAATAAGAGTGACAAAAAGAGGGAGAGGGGAAATCATTCAGCAGCTTTCAGAGGGAAATGTGATATGCTTGTAGTAGAGGGGAAATACTAAGCCAGTGCTTTTGACCAGCAGACGTTCTGGGCAATGCTGAAATAGCAACTAACCAAAATTGCCAGCTTCCCGTATTAACTGACCCCTAGAGCGTAGGGTTAAACTGCTCCTGCAAAATTCTGTTAACAGTGTCTGAAATTTACTTTAACTCACTGACCAAGTGTGCTTTTAATCTGCTAAAATAATAAATCGACCTTCGTTCATATATTCTATACGCGTTTCTAAATATTTTGTTGAGACGCAGCGTCAAGTGACAAACATTTAATATATTTATCAGGGGCTAATCAAGTCAAGCATGAATAGTAAAAAAAAAATTCTAAACTTTTCACATCAATCTCCTCAACAATGTAATCGCTTTCTAATGCTTCGTCTTTTGCATGAATCTAAGAATTTAGGCTCCTGTTCAAAAAAGACTGCAATGCCCAGCCTTAGTCTGAGTTATGATGAGACGATTGGTTAGATAGTTAGGGTTATACAAAAATGTCAGGGTCAGGTCTTTGTGGAATACTGGTGGGGGAAAAAAGCTGTGTGTGGGTGTGTGTAAGTGTCAAACTTTGACAGAGAGGGAGGAAGACAGAAGCATATGAGTGATCCCAAAACACAGGAGAGATCCTAAGCATCGCTTTAATTTTGGTTTGGAGAAAAAAGAAAAAGAAAAAAAAAAAAAAAGAATGAAAAATGCCACCGTGGGGGACTGTCCACTAAGATTTACTCACCAAAATAGAAAATCCACCTACATTTGGTGCATGGGGGGATGTTAATTCGTGACTATGTCTGTACATCATCCTCACACTGCTCTGGTTGGCAAATACTGTCATATTAGATAAACAGAAGCATCCTGAATTTGACCTTTATTAAAAAAAGGAAGCACTGATAACCAAAAAACATCAAACCACACAAAAAATTTAATAAATCCGCAATGATATAAATGACTAAATCATTAAGTCACTAAATTATTGGATAAGGATTAAGTGACTCTGCTTTGGAGGTTTAGTTTTCACACATACTGTTATTAAAGATGTGAGAGAGAGAAAAGAAGTAAGAAAGAATTGGTACCTGCTGTATATCTAAAGAAGGGAAAATCTGTTATGTTCCCTCCAATTAGATTCTTAGTAGGACCAAATTTTATGTGGAAAAAAAGAAAGAAATCATGTTAATACAGCACAATGGCTTCAAGGTAATACTGCATTTCCATAGTCAAATATGTGGAATTTCCTTCTATGTTTGTAAAATTTGTGCCAACAAAGTAAAGACATTTGCCAATAAATTTTTTCCTGTCTGATATTAAAGTCACAGGCACTTATCGTTTCTCATTTCTGATAACCAGGCAGACTCTAGGCAAAGAAAGGAGAGTTTGATGAATACAAATAAACTGATTTTATGTAACCTAGTTTCCTTGGAAAAAAAAAAAGAAAAGAGCGAGAAAAAAAGTCGCATGTAGAAGCTAGTAGGCTATACTATGAAGAATAGCATGTGGCACATTTATGTCAGATTTTTGCATCCAGTTCATGTCTTTTAAAGTGAAAACATGAATCACTGCCCTTAAGGGATTGTATATTTTCTTAAGTCACTGATAATGGGAGGTTTATTTAAAGGGACTTGTTTGTACTAACCAATGTTTTGATACATTAAAAAAAACAAAAATCTATTTCCATGTTCAGCAGCTGCTATCTACTGAAGCCGCTCTGTTGGTATAACCAGTAGGACAGAAGAGGAGACTTCACTGGCCTTTCACAGTATCTGCCTGGAGGACTTGATTAAACAGGAAGAGAATAGCTCTTGATACTTCAGCCTTGCACTGGCAGAGGAAGTAAGGGTTGCAGGCAACCCACACACTGGCAAAATATCTAGGAGGTTCACTACACTGGTTGAATTTATATTAAATGCATATTGCATTGACCTAACACAACCACAACAGTTTTGTGCTGCTCACAGAATTGATAGAGCAGGTCAATACTTTTCAATGCATTTCAAGTAAAAGAATATCAAATATGTGAGCTATTTTACTTACTACTGATGCACTGATATGATTTAAAACAGTCTTCTCCTATTAAAAAAACAAAACAAAAAAACAAACATCAAAATAAACAGATCTCAGCAGCATCATCAAAAAAAAAAAGGAGGAAAGAAAACAAACACGGATGCATTTTCTCCTGTGGAGAGCTTTGATTCAAATGCAGTGAGAGAGCAGAGTTATTACCTGGAAATATCAAAGATTCTAATTTCTATTAATAAGACTGCCTCCGCTCTTTTCAAATTTTGGTAAGTGATTGATGAGCCCTGTCTACAGGATATTTGATGGCGTCTCACAGCTAATGATTGTCCCACAAAGAAAACAAAAACAAAACACAATTTCACCATTAAAAAAATTAACATATTTCGAGACATGAAAACTTAAAAGTGTAAACACGCATACAGCTAGCAGTGTTCCTTACTGTAATCCTCCTTAGACATTCCTCACATATTCTCACATAAGCTAAAGCTTGTGATACTTAAAGAAATGATCAATTTTAACAATAGAGAAAGGGGAGGAAGAAGATTTCTAAATTATCTTATGGCTGAAAAGATTATTATATACCGCAAAGGTCGCTAAATTGATCCTCTAAGCACCCAGCGTATTTGTCCACAAATGGTGAAATATGATTTCTCTGTGTAGGACAGGAGCTTGAGCTAAATAAAAATGAATAAATATCTGAAAAGACGAAATATATAAATGACTGCTGTATTTCGCAAAAGAGGCTGCCCAAGGACAGCTTGCATTGATTTTCTTTTTGTCACTTTTCATTTGTAACTGTGTTCACAATCACGGAGTGATTGGAGAAATAAAGACCTCAGTTTGTAAGTAAGATTAGTAACATTTTGTCAGCTTAACACATGTAAAGACTGTCAGACTGTTAATTTTAAATTCTGCTGTATGTAGAGCATAATTTAATGAGGTACATGTTTTTAGGAACCTAATAGTCATTTGCAAAGAATGTTAAGTTCCTCAAATACAAATGTAGGGAGCACTAATGAAAGTTTAATTATCTGCCTACAAAGCATTTACCTTCGAACAAAAGGTCATTCACACAACTGGAAAATATCCTAAAACTCTTGAAAATCCAATAAAAGTGATGCAGAGTGACTCACCAATTTAATTTGACTTAGCTTCTTACACGGGTACGACTAAAATTCGCTTGTTGTTAATGTCAGTTTACAGCTGATGTGTCCCACACACGAATCAGCCAAGATAAAAGTAGGTTACATGAAAAACCAGCGGCCAGCGCACAGCTCTGTGTGCATGCTCACCATGTTCTGTCTAATATTGACTATTCTAAATTATGAACAAACAGAGAGCAGTAATGAACATGCCAAGTGTAAGTTCCAAACAGAAATTCATCAAACACACTCTGACTGGATGAAAGTACTACTTTGAGAAGTGGAGCGGGCATATCGCAATGCTAAGCAATCATAATCCGCACTACACTTGCAAGAGGTTTCATCACCAACATTCCCTCCCTATTGCAAAAAGGGGGGGAGAATATATTGATCTTTTTCTCCCTTCCTTCCGGGCATTCCCATTGCCCTGTGCAGCTTAAGCAGCACTTTTGTGGACAAATCCCACATTTGTGTTCCTTTCTGGAGGCTATAAATTGTCCTGAATAGGCGTAACTACTCCCAAGGCACAGCTGTGTTGGCTATACAGAGGTGTTGGTGGCCAGACTGTACTCTATGCAGTGTAAAGTCTTGCCTCATGTTTCGTCAACCTCACATATCCTCTTCCACCCTCCACTGCCTGCCCATTCTGAGCAACACCACTGGGTATAAGTTGTGCACTCAGTTCACCTCTATGGTATCCAGCCTTGCTTTATCTTTGCTACCTCAGTGAAAGAAAAGATAAATCTAAGCACCGATCTACACCACTCCCTGTCTCCATCCACACGCTACTGCCAGCCCCACTGGGCTCTTATATGGACCATCATCTGTTCTTGTTACCTGCAGAGAAAGGCAGAGATGAGCATTACGCTTTATTGCAAAGCCGGGCTTCTGATGTGGGGCTGGCCTGTCCGCTAAACACACTTCAATGCCCTGCTCGCATGAACAGAGATGATGAAATAAGTTGGGTATCTGAGCAAGAATGGGCAACTTCTATCTGTTTAGCCCTGCCTATATGGGCTCAACAGTTTCCAAGGTGACTTTTCAAATTGCACACACTCTCCATGGATAATTCATTACCTGCGCCCTCCATAAATGTGCACTCTAATAGGCAGCAAATTTCATCATGTCACACATAGGGTAACAAAGGCATCTGCCAACCCAAAATTAGAGAAATGACGTGTTACGCTGCATTAAATGATAACAGAAAAAAGCTGGTTCTCTATAGCATTTAATCACTGCTCAGCAACAAAGACGAAAGGGCATTTACAGAATGCCACATTTACCATTTTATAGAGATGTTTCAAACACTACCCTGATTTGGGTGGTGTATTTTTTTTAACTTCCTATACATCATATAATTACACCTGACCTAGTTTAAGCATCCACTCATTGCAGGGCTATATAATAGCAACACACGCATAATATCTGCTTATCGTGCATTTTTTTTTTAAATGGATCTGACATCGCAGTTGACACCTAAGCACTTAGTCTAAATATACTCGCAGCCTGTTTGTTGATGTACATCATGACAGTGCTGCCATAAAAATGCACATTCTCAGCTGAATGTAGATGAGGCTATTGATAAATGCATGATGGTCATCACTTGATGCTCATGGCTTGACTGACTTGCAGGAAAGCTCAGCACCATTTCGATCCATCTCCCTAATAACGGTGGCTTGGTGATAAACATCGACCCTTATCAAGCGAGCAGACCTTTGTCCGGTGGTGCCATATTTCGGGGTGGATTCTGAGAACGTCTAAATACATCATTGTGATGATTCAGCATGATATAAAATACCGCTACTTGTTTGCAGGCTCTGACAATAAAACAATGCTGTGTTGTTAACTGCTTGGCTGTGGCATTAAAGCCAAGGGCGGCTGGTTTGATTTGGCTCTGCCATTGTTACAATTTAACTAGTGGTTAAATGAATTGTCACTTCAGGTGAAGCAATTCAGTTCGAAACGATTGGTCTGAGAGCATTTCCTGGAAGATTAAAAATCAATGCATTTATTAAAAAGAAAAAGAAAAAACACAAAGATCCGCGCAGAATAAAAACAACACATTTCTCAGATCTGACAATCACAACCGCGTCTATGACAGAAATGTCACGAGAGAATAACACAACCAACCTGGTCTCGCTAAACCGCTGGCTCGGCTCGCGCTTGCTCCTTTTTTTCCTCCACAACGAGGTGATGAAGCAGCAGGTTTGAGCAGCAAGAAGCGCATGAGTTGACAAACCACCAAAAGAAAGCGTAGCGGCACAGCGGACACCAACGCGTCCCTCGCAAACTATTTATTTAAACGCAAAAGAAAGGAAAAAGAAGCGACCTAACACAGGGTCGCACGGTTTTTGACATTCCACGACTCTTCTCGTCTCCAGCCTCTCAGCGCCTGCTCGTGAAAAAAAAAAAAGTGGCAAACAACTCCCCGCCTACAAAACAAGCAAGCGAGGAAATCCCCGTGTGCTCAGTCTTTCTACTATTTGTAGCAATACAGCAACGAGAGCGAATCCACAGCTCAGGGAGGGGGAGTTACCCCTCAAGCGCGAAATGGCTGGCTGGCAGCCCCCCCTCCGCTCTCTACTACATGAAAATCAGATTGACACGTTTAATTCACAGCTCGCGCGCGTGTGTGTAAAAGATTAGCTGCCATCTCACCGTAGTAGGAGCACTAATGTTCCCGGTTACAACCGAGCATTTCATGTGTAAACTTTCAAAATAAACCCCCGAGCTGTGTCAAAACGTGTGCTGACCACTTGGATAATCAGGGCACTTTAGTTTGAAATGTTTCTGATGTGAGAAAGGCTAACTTTACCAGGAGGCTAGCTATGCTAACCCACTAAGCTAGCCTCGGCCAGCTTGACAGCGGCGAGGCGAAGGCATGCACACTCAGCATAACAACAGCAGCAGCAGCAGCAGCAGCTCTGTTTGCTTTATGGGCCCACCTGACTTCAAAACGACGCCCCTCCGAAGTTGTGGCTGTTAAAGTGCTCGTCTGAAACCTAACATCCGAGGCACAGCTGAATTTCGGCTCCACTGACAGAAGCGACGGCGCTTCCAAACGCCTGCCCGTGCTCTCCTTGTTGATTCCTTTCTCTTGTACCGAAGCCAGACGTCATCGTGTTTGGTCACGTGCCTCCATTCATGAAAGATTTTCTTTGCTCGCAAGGGGGAAAAAATGATAACTAAGAATACAGCATCCTTTGTTACATTGTTTCTTATACTTCCTGTTGTGACTTAGAATCAGCACTGCTGGCACTGTGAGCACTGGCACAAATAAATCACAACCACAGAATTAGTTAAATGTCTACATTTAATAAACTATTTTGAAAATACACTCATTTGGAGTACAAAATATAGCATTTTATCAATATCTGTAGTATTGCAAAACATGATTTTGGTACACAGTACAATACAAGCTGCAATGGGATATCACCTCGAGGAAAAAAAAAAACAGTTGTGAAGTGAACCTCTTTGGCATGAAACATGATCATCAGAAACAAGGTTTAGAAAGCCAGAGAAGAAACTGATAGGAGCATTTTTATTCCATGAGTCAACTAAAATACCAGGAACAGGGATATAAAAGAAAGAAAAAAAGCATTTCATGGTAACGGAAATGGAGATTTTCTTACAAAAGGAAGCTATTATCGCTTGAAATCTTTCTCTTGTTAAGTCTCACCTCATATTTTAGGTGATTTACTTACTTAGGTCAACAACTACCCGGCAGTAGTGGTTGTAGCATATAGCCGGATCATCAGTGATATGACAAGTTTGCAGTTTCTCCACCTGGCAGGTTACTTTATTTCTTTTTGGTCCTGGAGCTGCTGCTGCTGCTGCTGCTGTTGAACATACTGATCCCACGAGATCTGACTCCAACAGCGTCTGGAGTGACTCCCGGTTGCTGCAGCACTTGGTCCAGAGTTGTCTTCTTTATGGCAGCAGGGGAAATCTTCTCCTGGTCAGCCAAATACTGAAGTTCCCTTTTTTGAAATATAAAAAAAAGCAGAAACAAAAGAAGATAAACATACAAGTTAGAATGGATAATACATATTAATCACAGCATAATAAATCAGTGTAGTAATAACTTCAACACTAGGTGATATGTAACCAGAGAAGCCACAATTTAAAATGATTTGTACATACATAGCTCCATCTGCTGTCTGAATAATAAACTTTAAAAAAAATTGTCACCCTTTGAGCAATTGAGTGAATTGCTTTTCTTCTGTGTCTTATGACAGGAACGACAAAAATGTTTCTCTGTTTGTTCAACACCTCTCGCCAACCTACCTCGTCCTAACGCAAGAAGCCTCCACAGCATTGATGAGCAGGCTGCGGAAGCCACCACTCTCCATAACATGTAGGGCGTGGATCGTAGCGCCCCCTGGTGAACACACATTGTCCTTGAGCTGCCCAGGGTGCTGCTCCGAGTCTAACAGCATCCGAGCAGCCCCCTTTGAAGAAACACAAAGGAAGCGCCACTGATTGATCGCATAAAATACGCCACGTGATAATGAACATTCAGACTGTGTCAATGTGCACAATGGGACAGGACAAGCTGCAGGTCACACATAATTGAACAGTATTCTTTTAAACTCAACTCATAGGCACTAGGGGTATTCAGAAACACAGCAACATCAAACCAGGATCAAAACCCAAAAAAAAAAAAAAGTATATACTGCATCTATAATGGACATACCAGCAGTGCTTGGGCTCCGAGGCGTACAGCCAATCTCCTGTTCAGGCCCATTTTCACACCACCATCAGCAAGCGCATCTACAGCAGTGAAAGCCTGCAAGGTCACAATCATCAACGTTACTATGATGGAAAGAGGGCAACAAGCCGGAGGGCACGTTTTTCACAAATGCTGCAGCTATGGCAGATTTGCAAAACACACTGATAGGTAGAACGGACTCACATAAGCAGGGCCGCTGCCGCTTAGGCCAGTGACTGCATCAATCAGGTCCTCTTCCACCTCGGTGCAGTAGCCGACACTGGCCATCAGCTGCTCCAGGAGCTTTCCATCCTCCACATCTGCATAGCTTCCTGTAGCATAGACAGTGGCCCCTTCACGGACTACCACTGGAGTGTTGGTCATGCAACGTATGACCTTTGGAGAAGTGCGATACTGCTGCAGCTTCTACAAAAAGGAGCAATGCTCTAATTTAGTGACTTCATTTGAAGGGATGATGAATGAAAGTACCAGTTTAAAGTTTCTTATAATGGATGGATACAGCAAGCAAAGACAGATTAGATGTATGTATAGGCGATGTGAGCACTGAAAAATATGAATCAATAGCGTTTATAAGACTTTAAGTTATGCGTCTGGATTCATCTGGCTTATGATTTGCATTACCGTAATGTTTTAAAAGTAGTACTATAATTAAGTGATCTAGTGTTCATACAAGCAGGGTACACACCAACTCCTACGATGCACCATACCATGTCACTACAAATACTAGTAGATAATTACTATATTTACACCAATTGACTTATAAAAACTAGTGTAACAAGCAGCTTGAATAGGAAGGGGGGGCTTAAATGTGTTTAGTTTGTAAGTTTCCCACCATAAAACACACAACATGTAAACACGACGGGCTATGACTTGCCTTCTCTATGGAACTGATTCGGACCCCTGCAGCACAGGACACAATAAGGTGACGGTCTTCGATATCTGGTCCAATCTCATCCAGGACAAAAGGAATGATGTGGGGCTTCACAGCCAGGAAGAGAACATCAGTCCTGCTCACTGTCTCCTTGTTGCTGGTAGTGAAATTTACACCCAATTTCTGTACAAATTGACTTCTTTTAGTAGTTCTTCAGACAGGTAAAATACATATTCATAATTACACAGAGTCACTAATATAACAGACTACGCACCCGTAGTTGCTGCACTGTGGGGAGATCTGTGTCTGGAGAACTGGCTGTGATTTTGTGCGTGGCAATCACGCCTTGAAGAGGGGAAAAAATATCCAGAAATCATTTCGGTGCCTGATTGCAATCTACATACATCAAGAATACAAATGAAATGAAATTAATGCACATATGGTTAAAGGTATGTTTCGAAATTCACCTGCTGCCGTGAAGCCTCTCACCAGAGCGTGGGCCAGCTGGCCCGCTCCTATGAAACCCACGCTCATTCTGCCTGTAGGTACACACAATTTAAAACATTAAATTTAACGTTTTGTCTTACAAGTGACAGATGAACCAAGAAAGGATGAGCCGTGTGCCCTTTTTACAGCTCCGACACGTAGCGCAAACATAATCTTACTTCCGTATTATTCACTGAGGGAGGGCAAGGCGAATCCTGGACACATAATGGCAGCAGCCATAACGCTAACATTCATTACATTTATGAACAAACGGAAGACTCTTTAAGCTGACAGACAGACAGCCCAATACCAGCTCTTCATAAATACCTGAAATTACAACTCTGTCAACGTGTCCCAGGTGATTAGCGCTGTAGCTTCTGCAACAGCGACCAGAAACGAATTTGATTGACGAGGCTTGCGAGCCAGTGAGCTTTCACCCTTAGCTTACGCGTAACAATTTCAACCAATCGCAGTGGCAGCAGCGTAAACTTTGAGGCGGGGTTTAAATTGCACCAGGCTGTGCTGCTGAGAGGAAAAGCTGGTTAGGAGACGCAGTCGCTTTACTGGCATCTACCGGCGAAAAGCTTGGAAAGACATGTCGAGATGGAGGCGCTCAGACATAACATACATATTCTGAGCAGATAAAGTGCAACATGGTTAACAGACTGATGTAAGTAACTCCGAGTTAGGCGTTTTTTCTCTTAAGTTTCTTCATTATCCTGTCGGTAAACCTGTTTATATTTGTTAGCTATTCAACAGTAGCAGGTAGTTACTGTGCTTATTGTGGTTGTAATGATTAAAGTTGTGCCATACAGACAGGTCATAGCTTTTTGTCGAATTAAAGTGACTTACTGGCAGCCATTAGCAAGTGTTTTCTGTATTAACATGGTGAAATAACAGTAAAACTACCTCATTTTAAGCATATAGTATAACAGGGTACAGCATATTTGAGTTATTTTGCAACATGGTATATTAACATACAATAAAATAATGTTCACTTTTACCTTATATATATATATAGTATATATTATATTTATATATATATATATATATATATATATATATATATATATATTTGATATATATATATATATATATATATATATATATATATATATGGGTAAAAGCATGTATTTTCTGTATTAACGTGGTTAAACTAGCAGATTTTTAGCAGTAAAGTAAATCAGTAAAACAAAAAGCAACATTATAATGATTTTTTTTTAAAAATTTAAACATTCTAAACTACATTATACTTTAAAACCTACATTATTAGGCATTAATGTTTATAAACATTTTTATTTAACTCAACAGCTTCTCTAAAATTGTAGACTACATGTAGGCTAAACAAACTAGCATATGCTGCTTGATCTTTTTTCTTTCTTTCTGCATTTTATGAACAATCAACACATTGGAAAACCTTTATTTTTTAAAAAGAGAAAAAAAGTTACGTATTGGCGAATCCCAGTCTATGCTAAATTACCAAGTATAAAGAAAAAACATGAAATTGTACAAATAGTTTCACTGGTTGCAGCAAATTACCCTAGAACATGAAAAACACTGTGTGTTTAAGTCCTACTTTATGCAAAGAAGTGAAAGAAGGCCAAATGAAAACATAGACATTTTATTAAACACAGAACAGAGTACAAACATGGGAAAAAGAATGTTAACACTCGTGCTTGTGGTCAACATGTAATGTATCAACAAAATAACAAATCTAATACTGCTGCCAAACATTTGCCTTCAAAAAAAATTGACATTCAGTAAATTAAAAAAAACCTTATAAACTTCAACATATGTGGGGAATATAATCTAAACTGGAAAAAAAATACAGCGAAGTGGCT